TTTTTAAGTAGTAGCACCACCACCCGAACGCTATCAGACAATCAAAATTTAGTAAAAAATCCAAAAAAATTTTATTTCTTACAAATTTAATGATTCTAATCCTCTAAAAATTTCCTGCGTTCTAGTAGGCACTAATCCCCTGCCAATCCTGAAGAATAGGGAATTTTTCAAATATTTTTAAGTAGTAGCACCACCACCCGAACGCTATCAGACAATCAAAATTTAGTAAAAAATCCAAAAAAATTTTATTTCTTACAAATTTAATGATTCTAATCCTCTGAAAATTTCCTGCGTTCTAGTAGGCACTAATCCCCTGCCAATCCTGAAGAATAGGGAATTTTTTAAATATTTTTAAGTAGTAGCACCACCACCCGAACGCTATCAGACAATCAAAATTTAGTAAAAAATCCAAAAAAATATTATTTCTTACAAATTTAATTATTCTAATCCTGTAAAAATATCCTGCGTTTTAGTAGGCACTAAGCCCCAGCCAATCCTAAAGAATAAGGAATTTTTTAAATATTTTTAAGTAGTAGCAGGTCCACCCGTACACTATCAGACAATCAAAATTTAGTAAAAAATCCAAAAAAATTTTATTTCTTACAAATTTAATTATTCTAATCCTCTAAAAATTTCCTGCGTTCTAGTAGGCACTAAGCCCCAGCCAATCCTGAAGAATAAGGAATTTTTAAAATATTTTTAAGTAGTAGCAGGTCCACCCGTATGCTATCAGACAATCAAAATTTAGTAAAAAATCCAAAAAAATTTTATTTCTTACAAATTTAATGATTCTAATCTTCTAAAAATTTCCTGCGTTCTAGTAGGCACTGAGCTTTAGTCAATCCTAAAGAATAGGGAATTTTTTAAATATTTTTAAGTAGTAGCACCACCACCCGAACGCTATCAGACAATCAAAATTTAGTAAAAAATCCAAAAAAATTTTATTTCTTACAAATTTAATGATTCTAATCATCTGAAAATTTCCTGCGTTCTAGTAGGCACTGTGCCCTAGCCAATCCTGAAGAATAGGGAATTTTTTAAATATTTTTAAGTAGTAGCACCACCACCCGAACGCTATCAGACAATCAAAATTTAGTAAAAAATCCAAAATAATATTATTTCTTACAAATTTAATGATTCTATTCATCTGAAAATTTCCTGCGTTCTAGTAGGCACTGAGCTTTAGCCAATCCTGAAGAATAGGGAATTTTTTAAATATTTTTAAGTAGTAGCACCACCACCCGAACGCTATCAGACAATCAAAATTTAGTAAAAAATCCAAAAAAATTTTATTTCTTACAAATTTAATGATTCTAATCCTCTGAAAATTTCCTGCGTTCTAGTAGGCACTAAGCCCCAGCCAATCCTGAAGAATAGGGAATTTTTTAAATATTTTTAAGTAGTAGCACCACCACCCGAACGCTATCAGACAATCAAAATTTAGTAAAAAATCCAAAAAAATTTTATTTCTTACAAATTTAATGATTCTAATCATCTGAAAATTTCCTGCGTTCTAGTAGGCACTGTGCCCTAGCCAATCCTGAAGAATAGGGAATTTTTTAAATATTTTTAAGTAGTAGCACCACCACCCGAACGCTATCAGACAATCAAAGTTTAGTAAAAAATCCAAAAAAAATTTATTTCTTACAAATTTAATGATTCTAATCATCTGAAAATTTCCTGCGTTCTAGTAGGCACTGAGCTTTAGCCAATCCTGAAGAATAGGGAATTTTTTAAATATTATTAAGTAGTAGCACCACCACCCGAACGCTATCAGACAATCAAAATTTAGTAAAAAATCCAAAAAAATTTTATTTCTTACAAATTTAATGATTCTAATCATCTGAAAATTTCCTGCGTTCTAGTAGGCACTGTGCCCTAGCCAATCCTGAAGAATAGGGAATTTTTTAAATATTTTTAAGTAGTAGCAGGTCCACCCGTACGCTATCAGACAATCAAAATTTAGTAAAAAATCCAAAAAAATTTTATTTCTTACAAATTTAATGATTCTAATCATCTGAAAATTTCCTGCGTTCTAGTAGGCACTGTGCCCTAGCCAATCCTGAAGAATAGGGAATTTTTTAAATATTTTTAAGTAGTAGCACCACCACCCGAACGCTATCAGACAATCAAAATTTAGTAAAAAATCCAAAAAAATTTTATTTCTTACAAATTTAATGATTCTAATCATCTGAAAATTTCCTGCGTTCTAGTAGGCACTGTGCCCTAGCCAATCCTGAAGAATAGGGAATTTTTTAAATATTTTTAAGTAGTAGCACCACCACCCGAACGCTATCAGACAATCAAAATTTAGTAAAAAATCCAAAAAAATTTTATTTCTTACAAATTTAATGATTCTAATCCTCTAAAAATTTCCTGCGTTTTAGTAGGCACTAAGCCCCAGCCAATCCTAAAGAATAAGGAATTTTTTAAATATTTTTAAGTAGTAGCAGGTCCACCCGTACGCTATCAGACAATCAAAATTTAGTAAAAAATCCAAAAAAATTTTATTTCTTACAAATTTAATGATTCTAATCCTCTAAAAATTTCCTGCGTTTTAGTAGGCACTAAGCCCCAGCCAATCCTAAAGAATAAGGAATTTTTTAAATATTTTTAAGTAGTAGCAGGTCCACCCGTACGCTATCAGACAATCAAAATTTAGTAAAAAATCCAAAAAAATTTTATTTCTTACAAATTTAATGATTCTAATCCTCTGAAAATTTCCTGCGTTCTAGTAGGCACTAATCCCCTGCCAATCCTGAAGAATAGGGAATTTTTTAAATATTTTTAAGTAGTAGCACCACCATCCGTACGCTATCAGACAATCAAAATTTGATAAAAAATATATTAAAATTTTATTTCTTCTAAATTTAATAATTTTAATTATCTGAAAATCACCTGATTGTTAGTAGGGATTGTTATTTAAAATCTTCGTTTAAAGAATAGTTCTATAATTGGTGAATTTTCTTTACGTAATAAATTTCATTAGTAACGTATCAAAAAATAATGAATTATTATTTTTAAATATTTAAATTAAATTATAAAATAATAATAAAATACCTTATTTATTGAATGAAAACTTTAATTTCGTGGTTCATTTTCTCATTTTCAAGTGGCATTATATCATTTGAAGGTTATTTTTAATAATTTACCTGAATCAGGCCTCGAACTGCCTTTGGCATTGAAAATTACGTACTTTACGTACCAAAAAAGGAAAAATTAGTGACCAATTTACGTACCAAAATTTGTAATTTTTTATTTAAAGTGCTGACTTTAAATCGCAAAATAGAATGATATAGTTTAAATAATTACATGGATTTCAATCAACATATTTTTATTAGTTTAGAAAATCTTAAAATTGAAATAATATTTTATATGTTCTTATGATAAAATTTTACTTAAGAACTGTAAATTGAGAAGTTTTTGAAATTCTTAAGGGTTTATACCACTTTGTCAACTTCAAAAAATTAAATTTTTTTACGGATTTTGAAAGTATAGAATATCTCAAAAATGTTGTGTAAAATTTTAGAAAGATCTCAGCACTTTAAATATATTATTTTAGGTGACATTTGAACGCGTACAAAGGCTATGTACTTACATAGTTACTAGTTGAATCAGTAAATTTTTACATTATCAGTAACTCAATTCACATTTTTTCATGTTGTGTATTCTATTGTTAAATTTTAAATAATTAAATTAAACAATATTTTTTTTAATAAAACGACGTTTTCTATATAGTTAAAGAGTGTCTTTGTTAAACTATAAAAGACCTAGATCAATTAAATTTACATGGATCTTAAAAAAATTCTACAAAAAAGCTAAATTTTGAGGCATGTATAGTGGTATGAACCCTTTATTAACATAATATGACTTTCGTCTTCGACCAATCACTGTTTCTGAAAATGATCACCGTCAGCGGATTGATCGGAAAGTGAATGTGAATAAAAATAGAGAAGGCATAACTAAATGTTTATTCACAATCTGTATACATATTTTGATTTTTAGTCGAAATGGTCAAAATTACGTACTTTACGGACCTTTTGTCAAAATTACGTACTTTTAGGTACCAAATTCAAAATTACGTACTTTTCCTTAATTTATGTACTCAGTTCGAGGCCTGCTAAATATTTCATTGATTTTTTACAGTGGCCCAACTCTGGTAACCATGTTCAACTCTGACATTTTTTTTTAATTACTTATAGTTTCGAATCTTTTGGTCAAATTTTTTTACAATGTTCAGCTAAAGCATTTCATTTGTGTTGATCTTTTCAACAAAATGCGCAAAATCGCGAAATTCGTTCTGCGGGGGAAGTTATGAAGAGAAGTGAAAACTATGCCCAACCTTAACAACTCTCCCCTAGTTGAAAAATTTGTTTTCATCTCTATTTGAATATTTTATTAAATTACTGAAATAATTGTGAACTCTAAAAATACACAATGCAAATCTATTTTCATGAAAAATCAACAGACAGAAAACTTTATGTGATACGACGTATGGTATTACCAGGACATATTCCCTTTCTTACGTTTCATTGCAAAACTAGTGTCCCATTACATTTTACATAGGTATATGTTAAGTAATATAGATATAGAATTGTATTTAGAATTAATAGCATCACTTTCGAGATATTAACTGAAAATTAATCGGTCTTAGTTTCAAAAATCAATAACCAACAAAAAAACTGCCTAAAAAAAGATAATTTATTTAATTCGTTTTATTTCAGTTAATTTCAATTTTTTTCCCATTCATTTTATTTCATATTTCAAGTTTTCATTTATTTACTTTATTTCAGTTAATTTAATTTTTTTATACACTTTTATTCGAATTTATTACAATTTTTCTTCTATTCAGTTTATTTCTCTTAAAAAATTCTACCCATCTTTTAGCACAATTCCTTTGTTTCTATAACACAAACCTAACCGTTAATTTTATTTTTATTTCATTTTTTCCCAAAAAAAGTTTTTTGAAAATTTCTAAGTACATTTTAGAGCTTTGAAAACAAATTTCACGTAATTAAAAATAAAAATTTCTACCGTGACGGTAAGAATATTTCTTTTTTTTAAATTATAATTACATATTCAAAAAAATTAATATTAATATTAATAATTAATAAATCTATAATAATTAATTATTCCAATGAATTTACACTGACAGATGAAAGAAAATTGTCAGAACAATAAAAAATGGAGCAAAAATGAATGCAGTAGTGTATGTGTAACTGTTGTTTATCCCTAAGAATAATAAAGAAGTTGAGACAATTAATTAGCTAATTAATGAATGTTTTATGGGAAAATTTTGAATTCTAATATCTCAGTCTTTATGGGACAGGTTAAAGAATGTTTACAACCAGATGAAGGCACTCCGTTTCAATTATTAATTGCGAAATTGAGAAACACTAACAGGGACAGTTACTGGAATCAGGAAGTGGACAAAACACGATATCGAGTGTCCAATCTTCCGGTTGGAATGAATCCTGATAACACCACCTTTGGGAAAACTTATCGTTTCGGTAAAAGCAAATATTTTTCTCTCAAGACAAAAATAAAAACAAAAATAAAAAAAGAAAATTCAAAACAAAAAAAATTTGTATTTAATAATATTAATAATTAACATATAATTTTAATTATTTTTATTATTATTATTATTATTATTATTATTATTAATCTAAGGGTCTGTTTCCTTAATAAACAAAATAAATAAATTATTAATTAATATTTCAAGAAAAACAAAAGAAGAAAATTCAAACGATTGAAAAAACATTGTTTTAATATAGTCATTACCTATAATATTATTAAAAAGTAATTAAATAATATTAATTATTTTTATTATTTATTATTGTTATTATTATTATTAATTAATTTATTAATTTATTAATTTACTTATTTATTTATTTATTTATTTATTTATTTATTATTGAACAAAAAGAAGGAAAGAAAATTCAAAAGAAGTAACAAAAACAATTTATTTGAGCTGATGAATAAAAAGGGAAATAAATTCATCGAAAAGTAAAATAAAGTTATAAATTGTAAATTCCTTACTAATTATTGAACTTTAATTAACATTTTAATTAGATGGCGGTTTTGCGGAAATTATGAAATCAATGATTACTGATATTAATGAGGATCCTAAAAAAGGATTAAACGAACGCAAAATGTATGTTTAAAAGTCATGGAGATTATTATCACTCAGTGTGTAAATAAACAGTTGTTAAGTATTGTTTATGAGTTAAAATAAACCGTTTCTTTCTCAAATCGAAAAAATTTCCAAACAAAATTTATGAAGAACACAAATTAACAAAATTTACATTTTAAAAATAATTTAGCCAATATTTTTAAATTTTACATGAAATATAAATTAATAGAGAAATTAATTATGAATCGAAAAAATATTTTTCTTCATTGAAAATATTGGAAATATTTTTTACAAAAATAGTTTCTTTAACTAAAAATACATATAAACATTTTTTCATAAAATATAGTTTCTTTACAGTTAAAAATAATCGAAATACTTTTCAATAAAATATTTTCTTCAATTTACACTGAAAAAAAAATTTATTTTATTCAATTAAACGATTATTGGTCTATTATCAAATAAATTGAATCAAATATTTAAATTTTAATTTCTATTTAAATCAAATAAATTTTTTTTCCGTGCAAATTAAAGAAAATATTTTATTGAAAACTATTTCAAATATTTTTACTTAAAAAGAAACTATTTTATTGAAAACTATTTTAAATATTTTTACTTAAAAAAAAACTATTTTATGGAAAAATATTTTCAACCTTTTCTTCAGTGTGAAAATATTGAAAATATTTTTCAATAAAATATTTTGTTTTACTTTTAATACTGAAAATCTTGGAAATTATTATTCAATAAAATATTTTTCTAAACAAACATTTCATTTAATACTTAGTGTAATTAGAAATATTTATTAATCCCATTAACAGTTTATTTATTTACACACAAATTTATTAGTTTTGTTTATTTTATTAGAGCTAATTGAGCTAATTACGTTTATCGAGGTTATTGTACAAAAAAAAAGATATTAAAATGATTTTTTAAATAATTATTATTTAGGCAATGAAAAGCTAGTTTCGTTAAAGAAAAAAAATTAATTAATTTATTGCAGAATAATATTATCATCAATTAAAATGATATTATGAAGCACGTACTTAAAAAATACAGTTACAAATTTTGATTGCATATTTAGAATACAAATAAAATAACGAAATTGAATCATCACCATAATTCGATACATAGTTTACGTTAAATTAGTTTTATTTAATTTTAATGAACAATAAAATTTTAATCGCACAAGTTATAAGCGCATATAATACTTAAATTTTATATTTTTCATTTTTATATATTTTACCTGTGAAAATTTTCCATTAAAAATTAAAAATTTTCTATTTCCAATTTTTAGGGCAAATCTAATGGATAAAATGTTCCACATTTATGAGAAACGAAATATTTTATTATAAAAAAATAAATAAAAATTAAATACCCATCGCATTTGAAAATTTTTTTTACAAGTACATTTATTCATATTTTTTTGTATTTCATATTTGTGACATTTTACTTAAAACTGTAAATTAAATGTTTTCATTCAATTAATTTTTCATTTTTTTTTTCTTCGAGTCTTCGACTCAAAGTGATCGACTTCTTCGTGTTTTATAATAAAAAAAAATAAAAGATGGCAAATTGATACAATCATTATTTTATATTATAAGAATATTCTACTTCTTCAAAATTATTTTTATTATTTCAATTATTCAATTATTATTTTCAAGAATTTTTAACTAAAATTCTTCTTTAAATCAGTTAATTTTCGAAAAAGTTCTCTGACAATTTTCAAATCCATTTATTCAATTTTAAAATTTAAATTTAATTTTTATTCAATTTTAAAAATTACAATTATTCGTAAATTCTTTAATTAAATTTATATTAGAAAATAAAAACTTTAAATAATATAAAAAAATTAAATTACATTTTTTTTAAATACCTAATTAATTTCAAAATTCAATTATTTCTAAAAATTCAAACAATTACTGGAATACAAAAATATATAATTTATTGAATAATTGAATGTTTATTTAAATTCAATTCTAAAATTCAAAAGAATTTTATCAATTAATTTTTAAATAATAATTGAATTCTTTCGACGAATTTTAATAACATTTTTAAGAATAATTACATTTTTCGAGGAATTTTGATTAAAATTGTATTAAAAATAATTGAAATTCTGCAATCAGTTTTATTATTTATATAAAAATAATTGAATTTCTAAAAAGAAATTTATTATTTACGAGAATAATTGAATCTCTGTAAATAATTGAAATGAATAATTATTTATAAAAATAATTGAATGAATGCGAAGAAATTTATAAAAAATTTGTAAATAATTGAATTCCTGTGAAATTTTTATTATTTTTATGAAAATAATTAAATGCTTGCGTTAAAAGTATGAAAAATTCAAATTTTCCTAAAATTTTAATTTGCAAACTCTTCAAAATTCAATTATTTCTAAAAATTTAAATTAATTGTAACTTCTCAAAAATTCAATTATTATCGCAAATTTTAACTGAAATTCATTTTTAAATCAATTTTTATAAAAAAAAATTCTACGAGAATTCAAAAAAGTTTATTAAAATTTTTGAAAATTAATTGAATTTCTATAAAGGATTTTATGCAAATTTAAAAAAATAATTGAATTCCTGCTAAAAATTTTATTTTTTAAAAGAATATTAATTTTTGTGAAGAATTCTGTTATTTATAAAAAGATAATTGAATTATATTTCCAAGAACTTTATTTGAAAGTTTTGAAAATAATTGAAATCCTTTGAAGAATTTTATGAAATTCTTGAAAATAATTGAATTCCTACTAAAAATTTTGTTACTTTTTAAAATAATTGAATTTTTGCAAAGATTTTTGTTATTTATAATGATAATTAAATTCTTGCCCAGAATTATTTTACATTTCTCAATAATAATTAAATAATAATTGAAAATATTGAAAATTCAATAATAATTGAAAATCTGCGAAGAAAAATATGAAAAGTTTTGAAAATAATTGAATTTCTGCGAAGAATTTTATGAAATTTTTGTAAACAATTGAATTCCTGGTAAAAAATTTGTTATTTTTTGAAAATAATTAAATTTCTTAGAAGAATTCTGATATTTATAAAAATAATTGAATTTTTGACAAGAATTGTATTACAATTTGAAAAAATAATTGAATTTTTTAGAAGAATTTTGTAAAAAAAAATTTTAAATAATTTAATTCCTACTAAGAATTTTGTTCTTTATGAAAATAATTAAATTCTTACGAAGAATTTTGTTATTTATAAAAATAATTGAATTCTTGTCAAGAAATTTATTAAAAGTTTTGAAAATAACAGAATTCCTGCTAAAAATTTTGTTATTTTTAAAAATAAAAATTGAATTTCCGCGAACATGATAATAATTATTGAATTTTTCTGAAGAATTTTGTTATTTATCCAGATTTTTGTTATTTATTATTTATTAAAGTAATGTAGTTATTACGAAGAAAGTAAAAAAAAAATTATAATAATTGAATTCCTTGTGAAATTCTTATTATTATTATTGTTCATGAAAATAGTTAAATGTTTCATAGAATTTTATTTAAACATTTTTTGAATAATTGAATTCTTTTGGAAAATTTTATTAAATTAGTGGAAATTGAATTGAAGAAAATTTTTGAAAATAATTGAAATTTTGCCAAGAATTTTATTAAAATTTTTGAAAATAATTATTTTTCGAAGAAGAATTTTATTTTTAAAAAAAATTTTAAATTTTGATTAGAATTTTTTTTTAATTTTTTGAACATAATTAAATTTCTACGAAGAATTTTATTATATCCTTCTGAAAATAATTGAATTTCTGCAATCATTTGTAATTTTTTTAAAATTCTCCAAACTATATCGTACAATTAATTCACGAACATTCGATTTGATAAATTCTTAATTGATGAAATAAATAAAGAAAATTAATAGTACCTACAATTGAAAAAAAAAATGTTTCTGAAGGTGGTAAAAATTAATTTCCATAAATATGACAGATAACACGTGAAAATAATTTAATGTTATGTCCTTAGTGAAAGACATGAATGTCCATTTGATAAATTACAACGATTTGGAAAGAAAAGTGATAGTAATTGGGAAGGATTACGAGTAAAAAAACTTTTGCAATGGAGTAATTCAGATCCAGTAACGAAAGTCATTTGCCTTCAAGCCGATTTTTATAATCGTTCACAACCTCCAATTGGCAAAATCAAGTAATCAATAATCAAAAAAAAAAATTTAATTACTTACTAAAAAATTCAAAAATATTACAAAAATATTCTTCAAAATTTTGTCTCAAATTTCAAAAATTTAGAAAATCTACCGAAAACCAAAACAACGAAAATTTACCCTCAAACATTGCTTTCGGAAAACCGACAAATTATATTGAGATTTCTGAAATTTTAAAACCATCACATTCCAATAGTCGAGAAATAAAAAAAATATCAAAGGCTCTTCGAAATATAAACAAAATTAGAATGATTTTGAAAAGACGCAGAGAAGTTTTCTTCACGAAAATTGATGAAGAATTAAAAAAATTTGATAAAGTATTTCAAAAATATTGATAAAGATAAAAAAGGATTTTTTAATCTTAATTGAGAATTAAATAAACTCTTTTTATTACAGGATGACACAAAATCAGTGGATATTAAATTGCTATTTGAAGTGTTTAGACAATTTCGAATATTTCCCGAGAAAGAAGTTTTTTGTAACTTATTGGAAATTTTAAAATTTCTTCATGAAGATAAAGTTAATTACCCTAAAGCTATTAATTTGTTTAATTGGAATTGCGAATTTCCGGAAATTCCAAAAACAGAAGTTTAGAAAAATTTATATAATTCTAATTCTAAAATAAACAATTTTATAATACAAAGAATATCTAAAGAAATATAAAATAAAATATAAATTCTAAAACAATAAAATTAATATAAAAACAAAAATAATAAACATAAAATAAAAATAATACAAAATAATGGTAAAAGTAAAATTTAATCTGGATTTTTTTTAATTTATTCAATTTATTTATTATTAATTGTATTTTATAAAATTTTAATAAAATTCTTCAAAACAATACAGTTATTTTTAAAAATTTTAATAAAATTTCTTATTTAAAAAAATTCAATTAAACTTTTTTAGAAAAAAGGAATTCTACAGAATTGTCAGTTAAAAGTATCAATTTTTATTAGAAAATTCTACGAGAATTTAAAAAAGTTTATTAAAATTTTTGAAAATTAAATAAATTTCTATGATGAATTTTATGAAAATTTAAAAAAATAATTCAATTTCTGATAAAAATGTTGTTATTTTTTAAAAGAATTGAATTTTTGTGAAGAATTTTGTTATAATTATGAAAAGATAATTGAATTCTTTCCAAGAACTTTATTTGGAATTTTTGAAAATAATTGAAATCCTGCGAAGAATTTTATGAAATTCTTGAAAATAATTGAATTCCTACTAAAAAAATTGTTATTTTCTGAAAATAATTGAATTTCTGAGAAGAATTCTGATATTTATAAAGATAATTGAATTCTTGACAAGAATTGTATTAAAATTTTTAAAAATAATTGAATCTCTTAGAAGAATTTTGTAAAAAAAATTTTAAATAATTTAATTCCTACTAAGAATTTTTTTCTTTATGAAAAGAATTGAATTCTTACGAAGAATTTTGTAAATTATAAAAATAATTGAATTCTTGTAAAGAAATTTATTAAAAGTTTTGAAAATAATAGAATTCCAGCTAAAAATTTTGTTATTTTCGAAAATAATTGAATTTCTGTGAAGAATTTTATGGAAATTGAAAAAAATAATTGAATTCCTGCTAAAAATGTTGTTACTTTTTAAAAGAATTGAATTCTTACGAAGAATTTTGTTATTTATAAAAATAATTGAATTCTTGTCAAGAAATTTATTAAAAGATTTAAAAATAATAGAATTCCTGCTAATAATTTTGTTATTTTTGGAAATAATTGAATTTCCGTGAAGAATTTTAAGAAAATTTAAAAAAAAATAATTGAATTTCTGCTAAAAATGTTGTTACTTTTTAAAAGAATTGAATTCGTACGAAGAATTTTGTTATTTATAAAAATAATTGAATTCTTGTCAAGAATTGTATTACATTTTTTAATAATAATTGAATATCTGCGACGAAAATTATGAAAAGTTGAGAAAATAATTGAATTTCTGCGAAGAATTTTATGTAGTGTTTGAAAATAATTTAATTTCGGAGAAGAATTTTATTATTTATATAAAAATAATTGAATTTTGGAGAAAAGTTTTATTACTTTCGAAAATAATTGAATTTCTGCAATCATTTCTAACTTTTTCAAAATTTTCAAAATTATATCGTATAATTTACGAACTTTTCGTCCTTTTTCAATCAAATTACAAAATTTACTGACGAACTTCTGAATTCAAACTAAAATTAAATAAACAGTCGATAGAGCGAGGAGTCGATGAATTATTAAATAAGAAACAATTTTCACATGAAGAGAGCACTTTTATTAATAACAGTATATTAATAAAGATGGAAAAATTAAATTTTCCCAACGCTTTTTCGAAGATTAAAAATTGAAAACAACGTTTCAAGTTATATGTCGACGAATTAAAAATAAAGGTGTTGGTTATCGTCACTAATTTAATGAAAATTTACACAAAAAAATGAGAAACACAAAATTATTCCCATTTCCTAAACTACCAAAATTAATGCATATTTTTCAATTTTTTTTTCAATAAATAAAATTTTAATTTAAAATGATATTTTTCGATTAAAATTACCAAAAGTGACGATAACAAACACATTTATCTTAAATATTAAAAAGAAAAAATAATAATAACAACAATAAGCATCTCACAATGTTATATACCTTATAAAACCACTCGAAATCATAAAATTAATGTAAACAATCAAAAACCAAATCAACGCTCATCAGACAATTTGACATTCGTGTACTTTGTAATATACAATAAAAAATTCGAAATTTCGAAGCGAGTCGAGAAACTGAATAATTTCCTAATTTATTCTTTTTCCTATTGTTTTTTCCTCAATTTCTAATTACCTAAATTGATAATAATTTAGGGAACTAATCAATTTTCAAACTCGAATCACTGGGCAGAAATCTATATACACATTAAATCCCCAAACAGTTTGTTAAAATAAATTTAAATATAATGTGTAAATAATAAAATCGTCGAATTTGACAAGGCAGTGAATCGGATTAATTATAAAATTCAGTCAAGCCTCTATTTAAAAAAAATAACTATTCACATCATTCACTCTTCTTTAAAAAGAGAGTTTTTTATACACGCACAATTTTATAATACTTATAATACTAAAAATCACCAGATAAAATTATTTTTTAATAGAAAAAAATATTAATTCCTTCAAGGGACAATCTGATCAGAAAAATAAAAACGAAGTATATCAACTTTTTATTCAATATAGCGATTCAAATTGAATAATTCATTGAAACAATATTTATTTCCCTTAGAAAGAAATTAATATTTTTTGCTTAATTTAGTATTGTTTCAATTTCAACGGAAATCATTACAATTTTAAAGAATTTCAATGGAAATGAAAATAATTAAAAAAAAAAATATTACATCCATTTCAATATAAGAAGGAAAGATGATTTATACCATTGAAATTTTTTTTAACCAATTGTTGCATTTTCGACTCATTTCAAAAAAAAATCCACGCACATTTTTGTAAAACCAAAAAAAGTAGCGCTATAATTTATACATAAATTTTGAAGAAGGAAGTAGATCAATATTAAAAAGCACAATAATTATCAATACTGGTGAATTCCAGGTCAATTACTTAAAGATTTTTTAATGACCTAATGGAATTTGATTAATACTCTGCAATTTATTCAAGGTGTCTACTATTTTCGTTCAAAAAAATTCCCGCCTTTGTCCTAATTTTTCCCGGTTTTTATCTCATCAAATTTATTTGATTTCGAATCTAAATGAATTTACAAATAGCTTCCGAAATTTTTATTAGAGTTCTCTTGACGAACTAAACTCAAGATGGCAGATGCCAAAAACCAATCTGGGGTTTTAGATGACTCCTACAACAAGATGGTTGCTGCGATTGACATGCTTTTTAACAAATTCCCAAAACATAAAAGCCTTACCTAATCCAGTGAATATGAATAGTGAACATAATACTAGTTATAAGATGCAGGCACCTTCTGTGTCTGCTCCATCTCAATATCCATAAGAATGGTTTGACAAAAATACCCAACTGGGGTTTTAGATGAATCATACAACAAAATGATAGCAGCAATAGATATGTTTCTCAAAAAGTTCCCAAATCATAAAAAGCACTACCTAAACCAGTGAATATGAATAGTGAACATAATACTAGTTATAAGATGCAGGCACCTTCTGTGTCTGCTCCATCTCAATATCCATAAGAATGGTTTGACAAAAATACCCAACTGGGGTTTTAGATGAATCATACAACAAGATGGTTGCTGCCATAGATATGTTTTTCAAAAAGTTCCCAAATCATACTTCGAGTTTTGAAATTTAACATTATTTCATTAGATGTCAGTAAACTTGAAATTTCTCCTGTACACTTTTATGGTTTTTAAAAAAAGTACTATTAAGGAGTATCGCTGTTCTCGGAAGGTATACATACTTTACCAATGAAAAGAGTACTTTGAAGATTTATTTTTCAAAGAAGAAATGGAGATGATGGTTAGAAATGTTATTAACCAATTTAGATTCAACAGAAGGAAAAATTGTGTTTCCAATACAACAGCCGATCATGAATATTGTTTTCAAAAATATTCGGCAAACTATTCTTATTCTCTCTTCTACTTGTTAAATTCCATTAACCATTCTAGAACGATTTCCAAAGACAAAGATTTCAGTGAACAAATATAAAAATTTGTTATTTATTAAAGTTAATCTTAACTTGTACCCTGAACTAAAAGGTCGAACCTTGCAAAACATACGTAGGCGGTTGCCTACATTCCCAAAGGAGAAAATTGAATTTTCCCAAAGGCTAACAATTTTCTTAAGGCTATAGCCTTAAGATAAAGCCAAATCTAATAAGATAAAGCCAAAATTGCCAGGACCAACATTAACACACCTAAACAAAAACTTTTCGCCATTCAGAAATGATCCCATTATAAAAGAATCGATTTTTGCAAGTAGTATGACGTCTACACCTGTCGAATCAGACAGTTACGTACAATGTAATTTGTCTGGTTACATGTTAGTTATAAATAACCTGCAAGTAATAATTCAAGTTATAAATAAAAAAAACTATTTGAAACTTAAAGCTTTGTTTAAATTTGTTATATTAAATGAGAAACAACGATACAAACTTTGGATAATTTTCGTTTTTGGTAAAGTCAAATTTTGAATAAATTAAAATTCCTTAAATCTAAAAAGAAAAAAGAAAGAAGCAAAAGGGGGTGTTTTGAAGAAATTGCAGTTTAATCAACGACTTGAGGAATTGATCACAAACAGACTATTTGGATTAACCTTCCATCATCTGGAGAGTACAAAAAAAAGGGGTAAGTAAAATTACATTACAATTTATTTTCAAAAAAAGGAAGAAATTTCCATGAAGAAAGGATTTGTCTGTTTCTTTTAATCTTCTTTTCAATCGTCGTAGATATTAAATTAGGAAAATCGGATCTTCGCGGCCGATTCTAAAAATCCGTGAAGTAGTGACATGCGCTACCCTATAGTTTAATAACATTTAATAATGATTTTCTAACTAACAGACTTTGAACAAATCAAAGGGTCATCGCTCGGTTTGGAAAGGAGTTACCCGATTGCATTTAGGACGCCCAATGGGCTTAGATGCTCAAGCAATCACGGATGAGGGAAAAGAAGCGTTAGGCCTCAGCGCACCCCTGGAGGACTGGGCGAAGAAAGCAGATCAGTTGGAGAAGGAGGCGAAGAACCTTCGAGGAGTGAGGAACGACATTCAGAAGGGGAAGGACAACCCAGCAGACAACCCTGACGCCACCGGCCACTGCAAGTCACGCCGGGGCTGGCGCTCATCACTTGGTGCAGGGGAAGGAAAGGTTAGAGAATGTGGCTGGCATACTTCTGTGTCTGATCCTTCTTAATATGCTAGTGAGTGAAAGATAATGAGACTGTTATGCTCAAGATGATGGACATTGTGGCCGTCACCTTTTTTTGTCCTGATTGGCAAAAATATAAGCGAAGCCAACAAGATCGGGTGGTTTAAGAACAGATGAAGAGCAATAGCAGCTTCGTATTGTATCATACATCATATCAGTTTTAGATGAATCATTTATGAAAATGGTAACAGCAATAGACATGTTTTTCGAGCAGTTCCCGAAACACGATATTGCATTTTTCAGAATCTGTACCTTGCGATCTCGATTCAGAGATTGCGCAGGTTTCTTATCAGTAGGATTTATTAGTGGGTTTCTATCTTTAAAAATTGATGGTCAGATCATGGATTGAATTTTTACAGAATACGCTGCTCGAGAAATAATGGCGATGATGAACAATAGAGAGGAATTAAATCAAGTTGATTCTTATAAGGCGTTAAAACTGAACACATACAAAATTTAAATATTAAATTTTTACGAAATTCAATAATTTTCTAAATTTTAATTTTTAATTCTAGAAAAATCCAATTAGGATTCAAAAATAATATTTAAATGTAAAAAAAAAATTTTTAACGTACAATATAATATTTCAATTAAATTTGACAATATTTCCAAATAATTGAAAATATTATCTAATCTTTTTAAAATAATTTATGGGAATTCAACCATTTTCAAAACATTTTAATTACAATTTTTCAAAAGACGAATATTTTTCACAATTTTCAAGCGAAATGACATTCAAAACTTAAATAATTTTTGTTAAATAAATATTTAAATACTTATTTATTTATCCACAGAAATTACAATTACGGTACTTTAAATCATTTTTTAAAACTTTTTGAAATTTGACAATTTCTAAAAATTACAACTGTAATTCTTCCAAAATCCAATAATTCTTTCTTGATGTTTTTAATTAAATTTACTCAAAGCTTTAATAATTTTTTAAGAAAAAAAGTAAATTTATATTTGTATTTAAAATAAAATAAAAAATTTAATATTGTTACAGTTTTACAATTAAAATTTTCAAAAATTACAATCATGTTTTAAAAAAATTTCATAACAACACTTTTCTAATATTCAATTATAAACTAAATTTTTAATTGAAATTCAATGTTAAATCAATTCTTTTCAGAAAATTCTACGAAAATTCAATTATTTAAATAAAAAAAATTAGTAAATTGAATATTTGAATATTTCTTAAAATTAACTTCTTATAAAGAATTTTATCAAAATTTCTTAAAATAATTGAATTCTTTCGATGAATTTTAATAGCATTTTTAAAAATAATTGTATTTTTCGAAGAATTCTTTTAAAATTGTATAAAAAATTATTGTAAATTCTGTGAAACGTATTATTATTTATTAAAAAAAGAAATAATTCAAGTCTTGCAAAAAATAAAATTTTTTGTTCGAAAAATGTTATAAAAATATATTTTAAGTAATTGAATTCATGTAAAAATTTTATTATCTGCGAAAATAATTAAATTTCTGCAAAGAAAATTATTTAAATTATATTCAAAATAATTGAATTTATCGAAAGTATTTTATTGCTTCACCGGCACATCATTGTCGCGTGTTGAGCGTTTCTATGCTTGCGGAAGCTACTGATGGGGAACGAGTAAAGAAAAGACCTCTATTTTGTAGTAAATGGCGCGTAACACATTAAAATTTTTGAGAATAATAATAATAATTATTATTATTATTATTATTATTAATATTAATCATTATTCATTTTAATAATGATTAACGAAAAGTAATTAAAGTATTAATGGAAGAATAAAAGTATTTTTTATCTAAAACTTTCAATCTATAGGAAATTGTATTGATAACCATTTGCTTTTTCTTTTTAGTTCTATTGCATCTAATTCCTTCTTCATTCGTGAGTTCGAAAATGCATTAAACGTAATTTTATATAGTTTAGAAAAAAAATCACTCATTCTCGCACAGTTAGAAAATATTGCATCTAAAAAAATCTAAATAATTTTTTTGTTTCACTATAGTATGTATGTATATATATATACAGAGCTCGAGAATATATATAATACATTATAAAAAATTTCGTGCAGCGAAAAAACTACACCAGCAATACTTCTTTGGATATTCAGTTTCAAAAATCGTGTTTACTAATTTTATTTTATTTTATTTTGTAACTATGTACTTAGTAACAGTTCATTTTTCAGTATTTGAATTTTAATAGAAAAGAAATTAGTCAATTCAAGTAAAAAAAAGAGAAAACGAAGTTTAATAGTAAAAAAAATAATATTTTACCTTTTTACTATTGTTAATTGTAATTTCAAAAAAATTACACCAGGAAAAGTAAATAAAAAAAGCAATTATTTCAGTTAATGAATTTTTTATTTACATTGAAAAATGAATTGTTACTTTTTTTCACTTAAGACGATAATATTTGTAATAATTTGTTCAGTTTCATTTTGTTAAAATGTAATAAATTTTACAAAAGTCAGAACAGTATAAAAGAAATTGAGTTCAAATTGATCTGTACTACATAACTTTTCATCAATTTTTTTTTACCAAAGATTTTTAATATTATGTTTTAATAAGATTCTCAAAAGAGAATTTTAAGTTTAAATTATTTAAAAAATTTTGCTAAATATTTTTTTTTTTGTTTTAGAAAAGCGAAATTCTATTTTTTTTTAATAAAATAATTACTCATAGCTGCGTTTTTGGTTATAAGGCCAACCAAGGATGATATCGAATTGATTCCTTACTCCTGTCCCCATAATCGTACGTCACCTCAACTCCCTTTGCAATATCATCCTTAGCAATGAGAACTAAATGTGGAATTGATTTCACATCAACTATTCGAGTTACTAAATTACCATTACGAGAATGATTTACTAATCGTCCCAGTTTATCAGATTCTGCTGTTGCGTCGACACTAAAAAAATGGAAAATTTTATTGAGTATTCAATAAATTATTTTCTAAAACTAAACGCTACACACTATATAAGAAAATTTAAAGTGCAAAGGAAAATGAAAACACCAAACTAGCGAAAAGAAATGGAACAAATGAATGATAAAGCTTTCTATTAAAAAAATTTGATAATGAACAGCAAACGAAAAAACGGCAAATAAAAACTGTTCCTACTTAAAAAAAATAAAGATTGAAAAAATTGAGGAAAAAAAATGAAAAACCAATTTGAAAAACTAAAGTAGATAATAGATTTAAGGGAAGCAAGTGATAAAGGTAAAATGATAAACAAAAACCAAATAAAACAAAGTAGAAAAAATGCAGGAGAAGACACAAGGTTGCCACAAAAAAAAGACAGTATTTAGACTTTTTCCCTGATCGATATAAAAAAATCCACTAAATTCCTTAAAAAAACAAATATTTTTAAAAGAACTATAGAAAATTTCACTTATATCCTAAAGTTTTAATTACTTGTTTAGAAAAATTAAATTATGTTCAAAAAATAGAAAAAACCTAATTTTTCAGAATTTAAAATAAAATTTTTTGAAACTAAACAAAAATTTAATCTTTTACAAACTAACTAATTAGTAAAATTCACAAGGCTTCCACAAAAATATAATTTTGTTTTTCCCAGACTTTTCAAATTTTCAAAGATTTTAATTTGAACCCTTTTCAAAATTCAATTATTTCTAAAAATTCTCGCTATAATGCTTTTAATATTCAATTATAATTTTAAATTTTAAGTGAAGTTCATTTAATGCATTTTTATTAGAAATTTTTTCAAGAAATCAATTATTTAAATACAAAAATAAATAATTTATTAAATAATTGAATTTTTGAGTAATTTAAAAAAAAATTTTTAAATTATTGAATTCTTTCGGAATTTTATTTGTGAAAATAATTGAATTCCGGAGAAAAATATATTATTATTTATGAAAATAATTAATTTTTTGTGAAGAATTTTATTGGAATTTTTTTAAATAATTGAATTTTTCAGAATTTATTTAAAAAATTGAAAATAATTGAAATCTGACGAAAAATTTTATTAAATCTTTTTTCAATAATTGAATTCCTGTGAAAAATTTTATTTTTGAAAAGAATTGAATTCTTGGGAAAATTTGTATTAAAATTTCTTAAATAAGTGAATTCTCCAGAAAACGTTTATTATTTATGAAAATAATTAATTTCTTGAAAAAAAATTTTATTCAAAAATTTTTTTAATTAATTAAATTACCAAAAAAAATGTATTATTTGTGAATATAATTGAATTCTTAAGAAGAATTGTTTCAAAGATAATTTAATTGAATAGGAAAATTTTATTAAAATTGCAATTTTATTAACTAAATAATTTGAATTCTTTCGAGAAACTTCATTAAAAAATTTTAAATAATGGAATTGGTGCGAAGAAATTTATGAAAAATTGGAAAGTCATTGAATTTCTGTGAAATTTCTATTAAAATTTTGTTTAAATAATTGAATTCTTTGGGGAAACTTTATTAAAATAGACATTAAAAATAATTGAATTGAGGAAAATTTTTGAAAATAATTGAACTTCTGTCAAGAATTTTATTAAAATTTTGAAAATAATTGAATTTCGCAAAAGAATTTTATTAATTTTGAAAATAATTGCAATTTTCATGAGAATTTTATTAAATTTTTGAACATAATTGAATTTCTGCAAAGAATTTTTTTACTTTTGAAAATAATTGAATTTCTGTAATCAGTTGTTCTTAAAATTTCTATTTAAATACAATAAAAATTGAAATTTTCTAAAATTTCAAATTAAAACCTTTGAAGTACATCTATTAATGAAGATTATAAAAATTTCTTTACGTAAATAAGAGGAAAATCCTCTTAAAAATTATAGTGATTATGAAAATATTTTAAAGTGTAAAAAAAATTTAAGAACAATTCAAGATTAAGTTTCTCAAAAATATCTTTAAACCCCGAAAAGCAGAATTTTTGTAGCAATTCTAGAAATTTGATAATTTTTCAATACTTTTGATAACATTTCCTGATATTTTCCTGATTTCCCAAATCGGTGGCAACTCTGCGACAAAAAAACTACCAAAAAACAATAGAGAAAAAAAGAGGAGAAAAACAATTGTACCGACGAAAATTTGAACAAAGCAGAATAGAAAAAATATTTCAAGTTTCACAACTCTTGATACGACACCGCAAAATTGTTAATTTTTTTACGAAGAAAAAATGGTTAAATACCTAAATGATAAAATTTTAAAATATTTGTTATTTCTTTTTGAGAAAATTTATCATTTTCTACTTATGTTTCACTTAGCAAAAATTATAAGCAATAACAAAGAAATAATATTTATTTGATTGCGAAAAGAAATTTCAATTTTCCGATTATTCTAATTCATAGCTTCATCTGTGATAGAAAAAATAATAGTTAATAGAATAGTGCCAGAAATAAATATTATAATTTATTGAAAACAATGGACTAACACAAAATTATCAGCTGAATTAGTAAGAAAGCTTCGTGAATGTAAGAAAGTGCTTAGTAAATTCATAACAAAGACAAAACAAATGAGTCACGATTTATGAAAACATTTTAGTCTAACTTATTTTTATTTTGATGATTTTTTCTCTATAATGTAATAATTTTCCTTTGAATAGAAAACCTTTGCTTTTAATTATAGAAATACTTTTGAAATCATTACAGATTTTATTAATTTCTATTTTATTTATTAATAATTATTATTCGTTCTCTTATTAATTTATTTGTTAAAAAATTATCTATTTATTAATTTACTCTTAAAAAATTAATGAATAATTTTTTATTAATTAATTTTATTAATAATTTTAAATAACTTGCTGCGACAGTACAAATACTATTAATTTACCAATAAAAATTAATAAATAATTTTTTATTAATAACTTAATAATGAACACTTTTCGGTAATATTTTCTATTTAAGTTTAAATTATGTTTATTATCAATTTACTATTAAAAAACTAAATAATAATTTTTTATTAATAACTTAATACTGACCACTTTTCAAGAAAATATTATATTTAAATTTAAATTAAGTTTATTATTAATTTACTATTAAAAAACTACCTAATTAATAATTTTTTATTAATAACTTAATAATGATCACTTTTTAAGTAAATTTTATATTTAAGGTTAAATTTAGTTTATTTATTATCAACTTAATATTAAAAAATTAATTAATAATATTTATTAATAAAGTATTAATGACCATTTTTTGATCAAATTAATTTAAATTCAAAATATTGAATTCATTTAAATTAAAAATTAAATATATTAGGGTCAGATGGGGGAAAAAAGAAACAGTAGTTTCAAAAAAGTAGTTTTACCATTTCAAAAAATGGTTTAAAATAGAAATTTCTATTTTAAAAAATTATTTCTCAATAGGTACATTATTTCGCATTTGGAAATAAAATTGTCAATATTTAATTATATTGAAGCATAATTTAAATATTCATTGTTAGCGCTAAGTATTTTCTGGTATTTAAGCACTTAGCATAAATGAAAATATAAATAAGTGAAAAAAAACTCACCAATACTGTTGACTACGGTGTTGGAAATAATACATATAGCAACCAGCACCGTGATCCTGAGAATACTGACCCTCCCGCTTTTTCGCTTCAACTTGATCAATTAAATCACCAATGTATTCGACTATAAATTCTCCTTTGGTGAATTCTCGTGTCGTGACAACTCCACGGCCCTTACCAGCGAATGTTCTCACCTAAAAAAAATAATCTTTATTAATAATCGTTCTTTAAAAATTTTACTTAAAAATTTTTAAAATAATTTAATTTTATAAACAATTTCTTTCAATTTTTTAAAATAATCGTGTTTGTTGATAATTGAAATTAAACATTTAATTATTGAATTTTATTAAAATTCTAGAAAATAATTCAAGTCTTTAAAAACGTTTATAACAAATTAGGAAAAAATTGAATTTTTTTGAGAAATTTCTTAAAATTTTAGAAAATAATTGAATTTTTTTGGAATTTTTTCTAACGAATTAGAAAAAAAATGATTCTTTCGTGAAATTGTTTTAAATATAATTGAATGATTTTGAAGGATTTATTAAAAATTTAGAAAATAATTGAATTTTTTCGAAAAATATTAAAATTTTTTTTCAATTGAATTCTTTCATGAAATGTTATTAAAATTGTATTAAGAATAATTGATTTTTTGCAAAGAATTTTACTTTAATTTAAAAATAATAGAAATTAAGAAAGAATTTTATTAAAAACTTTTGAGAAAAATTGAATTGCTATGAAAAATTTTATTACAATTTTTTAAAATATTTAAACCTGTTAGACAAATTTTATTAAAATTATCTTGAATATAAATTAAATTTTTTCCAGAAATTTAATTAAAATTATATTGAAAATAATTGAATTTCTCAAAAAAATTTATTATTTACAAAAATAATTGAATTATTGCCAAGAATTTTATTATTTATAAAAATAATTAAATTGTTTAGAAGGATTTGTTAAAATTTTAGAAATTAATTGAATTCTTTTGTGAAATTTTATTAAAATTTTGTTAAAAATAATTGAATTCTTTCGAAGAATGTTATTATTTATATAAAAATAATTGAATTCTTCTAAAGAATGTAATTATTTATATAAAAATAATTGAATTCTTCCGAAGAATGTTATTTATTTATATAAAAGTAATTGAATTCTTGTGAAGAAATTTAATTTATAAATAAAATTGATTTCTTTTGAAAAATTTTATAACGAATTAGGAAAATATTGGATTTTTTCGTGAAATTAGTTTGAAAATAATTGAACATTTGCAAAGAATTTCCTTTTTATAAATAACATTGAATTGTTACGAAGAATTTTTAAAAAGTTTAGAAAATAATTGAATTTTCACAAAAAATATTAAAAATTAAAAAAATTGAATTCTTTCATTGAAATTTTTTTTAAATTGCATTAAAAATAATTTAATTTTTTCGAGAAATTTATACAAATTTTAGAAAATAATTCAACTGTTTTGAAATATTTTTTATCGAATTAAGAAAAAAATTTGAATTTATTCGTGAAATTTTTTTTTGAAAATAATTAAATTTTTACTAAGATTTTATAATGAATTAAGAAAAAATATTGATTTCTTTCGTGAATTTTTTTTTGGAAATAATTGAATTTTTGCAAAAATTTACTATTTAAAAAATAATTGAATTCTTTCGAAGGATTTATTAAAATTTTAGGAAATAATTGTATTCGTTCATGAAATATTATTAAAATTTGATTAAAAGTAATTGAATGTTTGTAAAAAATTCTATGTATTTATAAAAATAATTGAATTCTTGCGAAGAATCTTATTATTTATAAAAATAATTGAATTCATGCGAAGAATCTTATTGTTTATGAAAATAATTGAATTCTTGAGAAGAATTTTATTAAAATTTTTAAAATTATTAAACAAGAATAATTAGTTAGAAAATTAGTTAATAATTGCATTTTTTTAAAGTTTGAATTTGAAATTATTCACAAATTCATATTTCAAAATAAAAAATTTTGTAATTTGCATAAGAATAAGCGTAACATTTGCTAGTCAACGAATAATTAACATCTTGTTTAAAATTTGATTTTTTTTAAAATAAGTGAATATTTCCCCGGTTCAGTAACTATTTAATACAACTGCAATATTGGAATTAGGAAAAAAAGTAGAAAGAAAAAATAAAATATACAATAATCACTATACACGAATTGAGAATAACTTTAGAGAAATAAAATAAAATAGTTTACTAAGCATAGAGAAAGTTTCTAATACATAAAGTTCACTTTCCCCCTACTCACCTCTAAGCCATCTTCACAACCGGATATAATTTTATTCTCAAGGCTTCTCTGTTTCTCCTCTAAAACTGTTGTTTTACATTTTCGAACACTCCTTCGAACGGTATAGTATTCAGTGAGTTTATGATTTGTATCGACAGAAACTTTTGATGCTGGTGAATTTGTTGGATTTTGTTTTCGACGTCTTTTATTAACTGGTTTTTGAATTTTTTTCTCAGGAAATTGCACTGGACTTGAATCAATAGCTTTTGTTGTCGTTGTTGTCTTCTTTCTTTTCTCAATTATCACTTGTTTTGTACGCGCCTCTTCTTGTTCACTGGGCAATTTTATTCTATGCGGCGTTGGTGGGCCATGAATTTTCTCACCATCCTCAGCCTCCAGGGGCTTTGGTCCATTTTTTGGATAAAGCATATTCACACAATATTAGAACGATAATAATAATTTACAAAACACAAGAGAGAGAAAATTAGAACACCAACACTCGTTGAAAGCCGCGTTCGTTATGCTCAGTGCTGCCAACATTTCAGGTGAAGGGACGCCGCGCTTTGGACACACTGAAATATCAAAATCCCCCAAATTTGTTACTAAAAGTTACTAGACTTTTGAAAAAAAGCACTTAAAGGCTAGTTTGCATGAAAGGCAGTTGGTACTACTGGAAGAGCATGTTTTTTAATTTCAAAAATTGTTTTTAAATAAATAATTATAATTTTCATTAATAAAATAAATACTCTGAGATATAACCTTATTCCTTTTTTAGGAATTTTGTATTTATATTTTACCACATACGTCCAATATGCACAAAATAATTTGTGATTTATATTTTTAGCAAAACTCTGTGATATTATTTTTGGTCCAATATGTTAGAAAAATTAATTATCGTAAGTAGTTAAAGCAACACTCTGTAATTTTCAAACCTTATCTAAATTTGTTATCAATACTTCCTGCGATATCTTATCTACATTTTATTTATAGAAATATTTTGTCTTTATTACCACATCCGTCTAATATGAAATATTAATAAAAAAAACTGTTTTTTTACAATTTATAACAATGTTAATTATATATTTTTATTGCAATACTCTGTGAACTCTGTGATTTTAAATTACCTCCTACATTTTTGTGCAAATACTCTGTGATGTTACCGTGTCTACACTTTATTTATAGCAAATGTGTTTTGTTACCATACGTCCAAATATGTATATAAAAAATAAATATTTTACATTTTTAGTAACATTCTGTAAAATTGTTACTTTGTCCAATATGTTTATAAGAAAATAGATATCTAACAGTGGCAATACTCTGTGATTTAAAATTACTTCGTTAAAATTAATATTAATCATTATTTTTCAATACTCTGTGATATGTTACCTAAATTGTTACCTTAACTACAATTTTTATGTTACTTTAACTAATATTTATGAAATTTTTAATAAAAAATTAATCTACTTTTATCATTTTAACAATTTTTTTTTTGGTCAAGAAATGTGCTCACCTGTATCGCGTGCATCTTGAAATTGTCGTAAAGTTGTGAGTATCTTTCAGGGAGTGTATAACAATTAATCTACTATTTCACTGAGAAAACTGGTACATTATTTCGATACTTAGATTCAACAAATAAATAATATTTTTGAAAAATATCACTTTACACTTCTAACGAGACGCCGAAAACGGAAAAACGCCTTGAGACCGTCCAAAATGGCGCAGATGGTCGTCAATTAGGTTAGGTTAGACTTCCGGCTCACCAGCCAATAGAAACTTACGAACCTAACTTCAACTTTACGATTTTACGGATTTTACTAAAAGAAAAAAATTAATTATGAATTAAATAATAGTTTGAAAAACTATCATTAACCCGATTATTTTAATTTTAGATCTAATTTAGCAATTTTTCTTTTATAAAATTGTAAATAGTTTAATAATTTATGATTGAAAGATAATTAATGTTGTAGGTGGCAGTTCGGTCAGTCGGTAGGCGGGAAATTCAAATTCTCTAGATTTAAGTTTAACCAGAAAAGTAAAAAATTACACTAGTAAAATTTGGATTTTTATAGTTTTTTCTATTGCAAATTTCTTGTTATCGAGTAATGGAATTTTCGTACAAAAATATACTTTTTATTCTAAAAATATGTATTTACTATTATAGGGTTTCAATAGCGAGCGGACAAGCAGACGATAAATAAAAATGGCTCGTTGCCCGAGCCCGTACGGCTCGTACGTCAATAAACCTTTCCTGGAATCAGTGAAATAAATAATTAGAATTTAATGTTTCAAAATAAAGTATATTGTTCCGATTGGAGTAATTTTAAAAAAATGAAAAAAGATCAAAAAGAAATTAAGTGATCATGAAATTTAAGTGAATAGGTTCTTTACCGAATAACTGTAAAGAAACTGTAAAGTGACTGTAATGACTGTAAGTATAACCTAACCTCTACTGTAAATATACAATCATTTTATTGCCTAAGGTGAATGGTGATGTCATCGCCTGTCAAAGCTGCTTTTTTAGATTAAAAAATTAAAATTACAGTTACTTGAGTTTGGAAAATAGTGACAGTCGATCATTCTCTTCGCGAACTTAAGTAAAAATTATCATTTCTCCTCTCTTTATTACCAAAATCAATGTAAATTGAATACTATATTTTTATTCAAGGCCTTTACATGTTTTTCATCCTCTAATTTTCTCTCCCTACCTAACTCGACAAAACTTTTGTCTCTCATAAAATCCCTTCTCCCTTTCACTCTCCTTTTTTCTCTTTTTGTTTCTCAACTCCCGCTGTGTGTGTCTTGAAAGGAAAGAACCGCAAAACGTCGCGCATGTTACCACCCAACTTCTTCTTTGTGAAAAATAAAAGTCAATTTTCCGCAAACCTTTCCAACTATAATAAAAACGTTGATTTTTCATAAAAACTGATTGCGCGCGACTACGAATTAGAAGGAACGAGTTGTTCAAGTGAATGAAGTGAATTTAAAGTTTAATCGACAATAAGAGAGTGAGGTTGGGGTCTTAGACGAAGAAATGTCGGTTTTATAGTTTCCTACTGCAAGTAGGTGAGTCTCAGAAGAATTTCATTTATTTATAGAAAATTCAAATTTAGACTCTTGCATTCTGTGGCACGTGAAAAATCGAGAGATCAATATCAGTTTAATTGAATTTTCCAATTTTTTCTCGAAATTTACAAATGTAAATAAGTTTGTTTTTTTTCTGTTAATCATATTCGATCGGATTTTTACTTGTTCGCGAGTGACCGGACATTGAACGTGAGACTAGGGGTCAACATTTTTGACGTTCCGAGAGGAATTTCCCTCTGACCTGAAAATAAAATTTTTATTACACAGTGCAAGAGGAATAGAATTTATTTTAACAGATAGAAAATAAATCAATTTGCAAAAAATTATGTTTTTGAATTTTGTTTTATTAAGTCGAGACTGTTCTTTTTAAATTCTTCTTAAATAATTTTATTTTAAATTTTATTTTTATTATAGTTTTGGAATTTTTAGTAAATTACAAGTGAATATTGATATTTTTAATAGAAGTCTCGACTTAAAGTGGTTTTAAATCATCAGACAAAGCGTGTCTTTGTTAATTCGAGAATCGAGAGTATGAGAATCTTTTAATTAGTCTTCATTAATTATTTAAAAATAAAAATAGTTGGAAAGAATTAAATAATACTTCTCAGTGACTTTCTTCTTTTAATATTTATTTTTCTTTTACAGGAATTATTTTCTTGATTTTTACGCATAACTCAATTCATTGAATGACGCAGACTTCCCATTAACTTGAATCTAAAGAACTTCCTTGGAATAATTTAAATTATTGTTGAAGATACATGAGAAGTGCTACAGAATTTACCACATTTGTTTTATTTCATTTTATTTCTATCAAGTGAAAACGATAGAAAAATTCAGGGTTGTCACAGGTCAGGAAAAAATCAGAAATTTTTATTAAAAGTACTGGAAAAAATTAAATGATTAGAATTTATAAGAAAATTCCGAATTTTTGTGTCTTTTTGTCCAATTCTTCAATTTTTTCTACTTCTGGCAATAATTTATTTTAAATAACTTAATTCTATTGAAGAATTGCCATTTTAATATATAAATCATTTAATGAAGTTTTTCTTTTAATTTTAATTCCAATTTTGTTGAAATTAGTTACAATTTTAAAAATTTTAACGCGATTCTTTGAAATAATTCAACTCTATCTTAATAAATATCAAAATTCTTTCCAGAGATTCAATTATTTTCAAAAATTTTAATAAAATTGATGTCAAAATTTCAATTATTTTCAAAATTTTTTCTTAATTCAATGATTTTCAATATTCTAATATTATAATAAAATTTCCCAAAAGAATTCAATTATTAAACAAAAATTTTGATAAATTTCTCCATGAACCTTCAATTTTTTTCCAAAAAAATAAAAATTTTACAGAATTTAAATTATTTAAAATAGAATTTGCAAAGATTTTTTCGAAAAAATCAAATGTTTAAAAATTTGGCATTAAATTCTTATCGCATTAATTTAATTATTTTCAATTCTTTCCAAAAGTAATAAAATTCAATTATTTTCAAAAATTTTTATTAAAATTCATTGCAAAATTTTAATTACTTTCAATAAGATAATTAAATTGAATTTAAAAAAAAATTTAATTCTTCTCAAGAATTTTCAATGAAAGAAATTCGTAGATAAATGTAATTGAACATTTTTTTTACTATCTAATCAAAAGAGAATCAAAATATTTTTTAGGATTAGGAAAAAAATCAAAGCTTTGTCTCTGGAAATCAGGGAAAAGTCAGGAAAAAATAAAATAAAATTTTTGTGGCAACCCTGAAAATTAATCTTCAAGTGAAATTTTCTTTTCTTTTTTTCATCACTAATTTTTTTTTTTTTTTTTTGTTTCTTTTTTTGTTGCTAAATTTTCTCTTTATTACTCATTTGTAAACGAAATGACTGGAATTTTACACATAAATTAAACGTCATCGGAATAGAATGCTGAATGTGCGAAATTCTCCCGTTTTTTTTCTGTTCAATCAACAAAATATTCTGTTCTAAATTTAAAAATTATTTATTGACATTAGTCTGTTCTTTATAGAAAATGTTCGAAATTTCGAAACTGATTTCTCTTTGAACAAACACGATTTTCAAGTAGCACAAAATAACAGTTCATTTGTTAATTACATAATTTTCTTTTTGTTCGGGAATTTCACTTGGATCAGTGTATTCACAATTTTCTCAGATTGTTACTCAATGTAAGACTCACATTTGTATAAAAGTAAAACAAACCGGTAAAAATTTCTCATCAACTGAATCGACGGTTTTTTAAATTTTTCCTTAAATTTTCTACGAGCAAAATTATATTTATATTTATTAATTTATTAATTAATGAAAATTAATTATTATGATAATTACAATCAAAATATATATTAGTACAAATTTTGTGTTAATAAAACAATAGATTTATTCTGATTTTATTCTATTTTATATTTATAAACATTAAAAAATTTCCGATTACGAATAATAAATAATTTTCTTTTTTGTTTAAGGAAAACAACATGTCGAGGAAAGAAGGTAACAAAATGTTGGTTCACCAGTTATCGTCAGTTTTGCCAGACGATCGTCCGATTACGGCCATTAGTATTGTTGAAGATATAGACAAATGTCCGCCTAATTTCACAGTTGTAAGTTATAATTAATGATCGTTTAATTTTTTAACTCGATTTTTTTCGTCTTGGCGGAACAGAATAATAGGAAATGATTTTTTTTTCAGGTTTCAAGGACGCACGATTTAGATGCCGACGCTGATTTATGGCGTGAAAGTGGATTGTTCATTAAGAAAAAAAGTAGATATATATGTTTCTCAAAGACTGAAGGACTGCCACATTGTGTGGTTGAAGAAATTGCAATAATAGATGAAAGGGAACCACCACCAAAGGGTTACAGCATGATTTCACATACAGTTGATACGAGTAATTATTTTTTTTATTCTAATTTTTACCGAATCAATTATTTGTCACGTCTTTATAATTATTCTCCGTTTATATTAATTAATAAATAATTAAATATTAAAATCTATATTAATAATCGTTGTATTCCGGTAATCTGTTCGCAGTTTGAAATTAGTTTCTATTTGCTTTTTTTGTTTCCTAACTTTTTAAATAATTTTTTTGCTTAAATGTTTAAAATTTTTAAATTAATGTACTGAAAATCATTGAATTTAATTACTTTAAATACAATTACAATTTAATTCCAGAGAAAATTAAATTATTTCTAAATTCTTCATAAGAATTCAATTATATCAATAAATAGTAAATTTTCCACAAGAATTTAATTATTTAAAATATAATTTTCATAAGAATTCTTCTCAAAAATTCACTTATTTTTTCAAATTTTTCAAAAATCAAATTATTTGTAGAAATAATAATTTTTTTCGCAGGGATTGAATTATTTAAAAAAGTTTCAATAAAATTCTATTCAAGAATTCAATTATTTTCAGAAATGATTAAATTGTCGATGTACTGAAAATCATTGAATTCTTGTAAAGTATTTTTTAAAAAAATTTGAAATTAATTGAATTCATTTCAAGAAGTATATCAACATTTTTTTGAATAATTAAATTCTTTCGAGAAAATGTAATTAAAATTACTGTATTGAAAATAATTTAATTCTTGGCAAGATTTTTATTAAAATTCTTTAAAATAATTGAATTGTTTTGAAGAATTTATTTCAATTCTCTTGGAAATAAATTCGAGTTTTTTTTAATAATTTTTACTGAAAATTTTGAAATTAATTGAATTTGGTGAAGAATTTCTTTTAAGTTTTTAAAATAATCGGTGTTATTATGTATTTGAAAAAATAATTCAATTTTTGCTAAGAATTTTATAATTTATAAAAATAATTAAATAGATTCAAAGAATTTATTAAAATTTTTGGGAAATAATTGAATTGTTTTGTAGAATTTTATAAAGATATTTGAAAATAATTAAATTCTTCCGAGAAATTCAATTAAAGTTGTTTCGAAAATAATTGAATTTCTGTAAAGAATTTTATTTAAATTAAGTATTAATTACATTCAATATAATTGAATTCATCAGAAGAATTTTATTATTTTTTTTTGAGAATAATTGAATTCTTTCAATTCATTTAACGAATATATTTAAAAACTGCATTCAAAGTAATTTAATTTTCATATAGAATTTTATAAATAGTTCGAGAATAATTGAATTATTTTTAGAGAATTTTAAATTTTTGTTGAAAATGAATTTTTTGTAAATTTTTTGAAAATATTTGAATTCTTCCAAGGAATTCAATTAAAATTGTTTTGAAAATAATTATTGATTTCCTGCAAAGAATTTTAATATTTATAAAAATAATTGAATTCTTGCGAAGAATTAATTAAAATTTAAGGAAATAATCGAATTTTATCGAAATATTTTTAAATATTTGAATTCCTACGAGAAATTCAATTTAAATTGTTTTGAAAATAATTGAATTTCTCAGAAGAATTTTATTACATATTTGAAAAAGTAATTGAATTCTTGCGAAGAATTAATTAAAATTTTAGAAAATAATTGAATTTTATGGAAATATTTAAAAGTATTTGAATTACTCCGAGGAAATCAATTAAAATTGTTTTGAAAATAATTGAATTTCTCAGAAGAATTTCATTATTTACAAAAATAATTGAATTCTTGCCAAGAATTTTACAATTTATAAAAATAATTGAATTGTTTCGAAGAATTTTTTATCAGAATTGTTGAAAATAATTGAATTTTAACAATATTTTTAAATAGAATTGTTTTCTTACGAGAAATTTTTTAAAAATTATATTGAAAATAATTGAATTCCTCCGAAACATTTTATTATTTATGAAAATTATTGAATTCCTTCATAGAATTTTATTATTTATGAAAATATTTTAATTCTTGTGAATAATTTTTCTTATTTATGAAAATAATTTAATTGTTGCGGAGAATTTTACAATTCATAAAAATAATTGAATTGTTCCAAAGGATTTTATCTAAATTTTTCGAAGGAATTTTACTAAATATTTAGAAGATAATAAATTATTTTTAAATTTTCATCAAAATTGTTAAAAATAATTGAATTTATATTAAAATTCTTGAAAATAATTCAATTTAATTATTTTTTTTTTAAATAATTGTATTCTTTCGATAAATTTTTTAAAAATTGTATTGAAAATAATTGAATTGCTTGAAAAAATATTATTATTTATTTGAGATTAATTTTCACTTGGAATAAATTTCTTTTACAGTGCAACGAGCTTGGAGAAAGAGACAACTATGTTATAAAATGAAAAATAAAGATTTGTGCTCAAAAGCTATAACGGACATAATTATATGTAGCAGAGTTGGTAAAAGTTCAAGAAGAGCGCCATTTGAATTCACCTATGCTGGGTAAATACTATTTGCAATCATTTATAGAAAACAAATTTTTCAGTGCGATTATTTTTTTTTCCATTCGTTGCTAAAAATAGAAATTTATAATGCCTCTGCTTCGTTTTTTTTAGAAAACTTTATCTTCTTGATAGCAGTAATATATCTACTGTTAGTCTATAAATCATGCCTATAAGGATTTCGTAATTACAATAGATTGAAAATATTCAAGAAGAAAATTTAGATTACATTTTATCAGTTTCCCGATACTTACTACTTAATAGATAAAAAGTAATTTCGATTTTAAATCTAATTTATCAAAATCAATATTAAACTAAATTATTATATATAAATATAATAATAATATTAATAAATACGAATTGAAAATAAAAAAATATTAAGACAAAAACGAAGAAAAAATATTAATAAATATAGAGTAGTAAATACTACTTTTAAATAAATTACCGTTTGAATTTAAGAATTATTTTTTAGACAATTTAATTTAAATTCCAAATATAAATTTCAAAATGCTGACTTTCCGTTTTCAAAATATATTTTTGAGTAAATATTACAGATAAAGTTAATTGGCTCAATTACTAAATTAACATTTAATTGCAGTCTGGTGAATGGCGTCAGTCTTTGTTTCAAAACTGTCGATCTGAATACAATTGATCCAAGTTCCAGGCCTTATGCAAATATAGAGTGAGTTTCGAAAAAAATTGATAACTTTTTCTTTCGTAAAATTGTTAAAATTTCAATTTGATATAAAGCGAAATTATAAATTTCCTAAATGTAATTATTTTCAGCTTAAATATTATTATAAATAATTATTATAAATCAATATAATTGTCACTATAAATGATAAATTTTTATTAAATTAAATTTAATTAAATTTAATTTAATTAAACTTTAATTAAACATTTTCTTTTTCGAATCAACTTTTTTTTCTAATCTTTCATTTTCTTGAATTACTAGGTAGATTTAAATGAAACTAATTAATTTATCATGAAGTTAATTAATTTAATCTATAATTAATTTATTTATTTATTTAAGATTCTTACACGGAACATTAACATTATTATTATTACATTAACATTAATGTTTTCTTTTAACTTTAATTTTTCCTTCTAATTTGTTTGTTTTCATTTATTACTAGATCGTTGACTAATCCCTCGCCAAATCCATCAAATGGAACTCCACACAGGGTGGCTCCGGAGAGACCGCCAAAACCAAAGTTTGCACCAAAACCACCAAGCAGCATTTATCCTCAAATTAGTCCAGCAAGTCCGGCGAGTCCCGGTAATCCCTCCGACGACTCAATGGATCGTGATTATGAAATTCTTAATCCAAATGCAAAAATTAAACCAACGAGACCAGCGCCACAACCACCAAAATCACCTCTCGTTGGTTCTACTTCAAATTATGGTACATTACCGGGATCATCTGATCTCGACGGAGTTCCATTCGCTCTCAATCCACTTCTATCGACCAGCAAAAATCAGCTGAAAGTGAGTTAGCAAAAAAGTTGACGTATTCTCTTTATTTTACTTTCTTCAAACCTCGAATATTACGACATTTTCGCCTTTTTCCGACTATTTTCCAAAAATGCGACTCTTATCAAATTTTTTCAATAAAATGTGACTTTTCTTTTGCATATTGCAACAAAATAATAATTTTTTTATATAAAACGCTACTTAATTTGATTTTTATAGTGTGGAAAATAAGTAGAAAAATATTTTCCTGGAAAATATAGTACTTTACTGTAAATCTTTAAGAGTATAATTACATATCTTTTGTAAATTTGAATTTATTGTATTCAAATAATTTAGTTTTGACAGAACTTTCAGAAATTATTCAAAATAATTTATTTGGAAAAGAATTTCAGTTAAAATGTTAGAAAATAATTTACTATTAGAAGCATTATTGCAGAAATTTTTATAAATAATGGAATTATCTTGTTTCAAAATAGAATTTATTGTATTCAAATAATTAAGTTCTGAAAGAACTTTCTGAAATTATTCAAAAGAATTGATTTAGAAAAGAATTTCAGTTTAAATTTTATAAATTAATTGACTATTAGAAGCGTCATTGCAAAAACTTTTATAAATAATTAAATTATTTTTTTTTGAAAATTGAATTTATTGAATTCAAATAATTGAGTTCTGAAGGAACTTTTTGAAATTATTCAAAATAATTGATTTAGAAAAGAATTTCAGTTAAAATTTTATAAATTAATTTACTATTAGAAGCGTTATTGTATAAATTTTTATAAATAATTGAATTATTTTTTAAAAATTGAATTTATTCTATTCAAATAATTGAGTTCTTAAAGAACTTTTTAAAATTATTCAAAATAATTGATTTAGAAAAGAATTTTAGTTAAAATTTTATAAATTAATTAACTACTAGAAGCAATATTGCAGATACTTTTATAATTGAATTTCAAAAGCTGCGAAATTAAAATTTTGAATAATTAGAACTATGTCTCTCAAAGAATTTTAATTCAGATTTCGTAAAATTGAATTGAAAGCAATCAAAGTTTAGACGTAATTTAAGTGAACTTTCTTTTTTTAATTAATTAGTTTATTTATTTATTTCAATAAAAATGGACAAGAACAAAAGCAGTCGTACAATGAGGTTTGCAGTAAATTTAATTTAATAATTAATAAAAAAAATTAATAATACAGAATTTTCAAAGAAATTTTTGAAAATTATTAATAATAATTGACTTTTATAGAAGAATTTTAACTAAGAATTCTAAGAAATAATTAAATTTCCAAGAGTTTTAATTTAAAAATATTTAAAAAATTCAATTCATGTGAATGTTCATTATTATTTGAATTAAATTCAAGTGTTGAATAATTGAATTTTAAAATTTTTTAAAAATTAGATTTTTGAATAATTGTAGATTATTGAATTCCCCAAAATAATAAATCGAAAAATTTTCAAACAATTGGAAATTGTCTACAAATTTTATTGAAATAAATTTTATACTTTTAAGAATGTTCTTGAAATTCTTAAAAATTATCGTGTTTTTGAGAAAAAAATAATTCTGAAAATATTAGGGGCCGATACTGAAACGAAACTAAATAAAAAATTACTTTCGTTTCAGTTTTTGAATAATCCAAAAATAAAAGTATATGATTCCATTTTGTTTCGTGTCGACTAGAAACTAAATTAACGTCTGAATATTAGTTTAGTGTCTACTTAAAACTAAATTAACTGATTGAATTAAGTTTCGTGACAACTCGAAACAAAAGTTTGAAAAAAAACTTATAGAATAAGTGTTATAATCCGAAAAAGGAAAAGAATTGAAAATATTTCTGGAAATTAGGAAAAAGTTCTTGAAAAAAATAAAATTTTTGTAACAACCCTGTAAAAATAAGAAACTACTTTTTCGAGTTTTTTATTCTATTTTAAATTGACTAAATAGACTTTTTCTCTAGTTGACTCGACGCCTGTTTCTATTACATTTTTTTAAGTGACAAATATTAATAATTGTAAATTAATAAAACAGTAATAATTAAGTGGCATATTAATTTGTTCATTTAATCTTAATAATTGTCAATAATATTAATATTGCGTTGGAAAATTGTTTAAATTCTCAAAAAAAAATTGAAGAAGAATTATTTTATTTTTAGGAGTTTTATTTCAAATTCGAAATAAAATAAATATTCAATTTGAATGTTTCAAATTTTATTCTTAAAATTAAGATAATTTTTGTTCTCTATAATTTAAATTTTTTGATAGCTACTATTTGTTACTTTTTTTTAACCTTGAAGCTATTTTTTGTACTAATTACACGAAGCGTGAATTCATTTAAATATAGTGAATTTGAAAGTATTTCAAAATGGGAAATTAAAAAAAAAAGAAACGTAGAATAGAGTATAAAAATAATTTGCTTGAATTAATGGAAATTGTTTTTTTTTCACAGAATAAACTTCCTGTGATTAAAATTCGTACTCGAGAAGAAATGGATAGAGCGGTAAGAAATAGAATAGATATTTTTAAAAAGAAAATATTTATATAAATATAAATTTTAAATTTAATTTAAACTTCAAAAACATTGAAATTGAATTTAAATTTTTAAAAAATCGACATTGAATTTAAATTTTATAAAAAATGAAATTAAATTAAAATCTTTAAAAATTAAAATTGAATTTAAAATTTAAAAAATTGGAAATGAATTTAAATTTTTAAAAATGGAAATTGAATTTAAAATTTTAAAAATTGGAATTGAATTTAAATTTAAAAAAAATTGAATTAAAAATTTTGAAAAATTGAATTTATATCTAAAAAAATTGAAATTGAATTAAAAAATTTAAAGAATTGGAATTTAATTTATACTTTAAAAAAATGAAAAATGAATTTAAATTTTTAAAAATTGGAATTGAATTTAAATTTTTAAAAATTAAAATTGAATTTAAAATTTTAAAAATTGGAATTGAATTTAAATTTTGAAAAATTGAATTTGAAAAAATTAGAATTGAATTTAAATTTTGAAAAATTGAATTTAAAAAAATTAGAATTGAATTTAAATTTAAAAAAAGGAAATTGAATTTAAAATTTTCAAAATTGGAATTTAATTTAAATCAATAAAAAATTGAAGTAGAATTTAATTGAAATAAAAATAATCTGAAATATTAATTTGAGAAATTACTTTTTCAGTATCACTACGATTTTCGAGCGGAGAGAGAAACTTGAACGATTCAAGAATGTGCCAAAACGAATTGCGTAAGCCTATCGTTTCTAAGCTGTATTCATACTTCATGTATCAATAATATAGCTCTAGCAATGCATAATGGAGTGCCTGATTAATTATTATTGAATGTTTCACATCATTAAAATCCACAAAAGTGAAATTTCATTTTTCAACTTTTGCGGGGGTGTGAACGAATTACGAATTGCACGATACATGCGTTATTCAACAAAACAAAAAAAACAAAAACAAAATCTATGTATCTTCTTCCGTGCCCTATTTAGATTTTTATACACCAGTGATTATGAGCATTGTATTTTTATAGACTTGCGTTGTATTTTTATAGTTCGTAGAAATTATATATCTTGTATAATACGTTCTTGTTTAAAAATCATTAGATATTTAACAACAAAAAAAAAAAAATGAAGAACACTATCATCTGTTCACGCCATACGCAAAATGTTCCTTCAAATCGAAAACATTTTCTCAAATTCATTTTTCAATCCATCCATTGTCCAAAGGATTGTTCTTTATTTTTTAATTCTTCGGTGCACTCTCAATTAAAATTTTTAAGTTGAAGAACTCGTCAACGAATTAAAAATTGGAAAATTTGAAAATAAGTTCCAAAAATTCTGATTTTAGATAATCATTTAATGATTTCTGACTAAAAGGAATATTATTTTTTAAATTCAAGATGAAAGAGATCTTGCGATTACGTGTTTAGATTTATTATATAGTGAGGGATTTTATAAGCAACGTTCAATCGATATTAACAGGGCTCAAAATGTATTAATTGTGATAAAAAATGTCCGCATTACTTTTAAAACGTATACGTAAAGGAATCATTCGATTTTTTAGGATTAATATTAAGTAAATTGTCGATTGATACAAAACGAACAAAAATTTTCATTCACTGTTACTGTTTGTGGATCAAAATATTATCAGATAAAATTGTTATTATTATTATCAGCAGTAGATTGTACTTTTCAGCGAATGTAATTTTCATTTTATGAAAATTCGATGGGAATTTTCAACGATTGATATTTATTTTGACTTTAGAACGATTTAAAAAATATTTTCCAAACTGTTTGGTTATTTTTCAAATTTTGAGTTTGAAATGTAAAAACATTTAAGAATGGAAATTACCATCGAAATTGATTGTGGTTAATGAAAATTCGCAATAGTAAATTTTTTTCTCTTCAGCGATTGCAATTTTCATTTCTGTAATTTTTATCGATAGATACAAACTGAATTCGATGGGAATTGTCAACGATTGAAATTTGTTTTAATTTTCGAACGAATTGTAAATATTTTCCAATTGTTTAATTATTATTCAAATGTTAATTTGTATTTAAAATGCAGAACTAGGTTCTGATCTTGCTATTATGGTGTTCTTTAAGGTACTCACATCTGATTGGAGTCCTTGAATACAGAATTGCAATTCTCCAACTGCCGTTTTAAGTTGGGTTATTTCTGTTACAAAGTCCCCCAAGATTTTACGCAAAGAAGTTATATCTCGTTAATTTAATAATTACTCTCTATATTTCAATTCGTATTTTTCTGTTCTTTAAATTTACTACTCGAGCTATGGATAATTTCCTTTCATTTTAAACTGAAAAGGAAACTTTCAGTTCTCTCGATTTTCCACATTTCGTAATTTTAAATAATTTTGGCGCAAGAATTATTCAAAAGAAAGTTTGACAAAAATTAATCATTACTTTCGATTTCACTCTAATTTTGTTTCATTGTTTGACTTTGTGTCAATAATCAATTGAGAAATTTGTTTTCTCGTAATTATTACAAAACTTTCCTTGAAAATTGAAATTTTCTAATAATTTCATTGTAGAAAATCACTTTCAGTGAGTTTTCTTCTTGAAGTGTTAATCCTGAATAGGAATTAATTTTTTAGGAAAAAAATTTTAGAGATCTCTGGTCTTGTATTCTTATTCTCATTACATTCCTCTGGATTATGAATTAAATTTCTAGTTGAAAAACTTATAATCCTCTTAATTTTTCTGATTCTGCTTACCCTTAACACGTTTGCCTTTACGCAAGTGTCACTTTAATTAATTAATTAAAAGATTTATTTTTAATTAATTGAATGATTTTTCTTCACACAATTAGGAACATCAATTGTAGATATGGTTATTTTTTCAGAAAGTTCTCCATCACAATCATATCCCACAATTTCAAAGCATAAAAAACGAGAAAGACAAAGAGAAAACAGAAAAAAATTTTAATTGACCATCGATTGTAATTTCGATTATTTTAATTGTGTCACTAAATTCCCATTCTATTCATGTTAAAGCGAAAATTGCAATTGACTGCTTAAACTTTATCAAATTAGGATTATTTATAGAATAATATTTATTCAAATTAATATTAATTAATTAATTCATTAATTTGGTCATTCAATTTAATCATAATCTATTTTTATTAATTAATATTGAAAGTATTTGTAAATTCGTCGACGAGTTCTTTGGAAAATTGTAATTTTATCAAACTGTTAAACAGAAGAATAAAAAAAAAATGTTATCAAGTGTGTAGGTGCTGCCAATATAGATACGCGAATTATATTTAATCAAATGTATTCAGATCGATCTGAATTCAAGCACTAATTATTAATATGATAAATTTACAAGTAATTAAGCACGAGCATTATAAAATGTAATTTATTCAGTTTTTTGTCATTTTTTTCTCCTTTTTTGTAATATGAATCAAGCGTTGTGGGATTGTTTCGAATTTTTAAAAATCCGTTTTAAATTTTCGATAGGAGATAAATTTTTATAAAGTGAGGCCTTTCTATTAGAATTACTTATATTACTGGAATTAAGTGTTAATTGCAATGAAATGTTTGCAAGAATATCTTGAATATTGACTGATTTATTATTGAAAAAAATTTGATATACTTTTATTTGCGCGCAAAATTTTAGGCAATAATATTTGTTTGTCTGCAGTGATTGTTTGTTTTTTTTCGTCACAAAAAAAAATGTGTATACTTATATGCCATGAAAAAAAGAAAAGATGAGAGACTCAAGGAATACTAGCGAAAAAATGTAGAGTGTTGTTTTTTGTAAAAGATTTTTCTGGAGAAAGTGAAAATGGTTCTTCCGATCAGTCTTTGGAAAAATCACATTTGTACGTTTAGGATATAAAAGTTATTAATTAATTAATTAATTAAACTGATCGGGAACAATGTATTTACAACACATACTTATTCTCGAAATATATTTATAAAATCACAAGTTTTAATTCTTTTCAATTTTAAATCTTCCAAATATTTTAAAAATCATTTTTAGTATTTGTTTTTTGAATTTTTTCCAAATTTGAAATCTGGTTGTTTAAGATTTTCAATTTTAATTCATTGAATTTTTAATGATGCAAAATTAATTATTCTTTCCAGCGAAAATTATATTCTACGTAATTAATTCTTTATGTGACTTTTATGTTAAAATGTTTTTTTTTCTAAAAATTTCTCAAGTATTTTGAATAATAAATTATAATTTGAATTTATTACTGACATTTAAAATTCCACTTGACTCGAAATTTTTTCAAATCCCTTCAATTTTTTCAATCTTTTCAATTTTTTTTTTATTTCTTAAATAATTAAAAATTTTATTTTATTTATTTATTTAAATTTAGACAAGTGACAAATTTTATACAAAATATAATAAGATTTTAAAGGGAAATTTCCAATATTTTTTGTAGAAGGAAATATTGATAAAAATTGATTTATTTTGAAATGATTTCAAAATATTAATAAAATTTCACGAACGCATACAATTCTTTTCTAAAATTTTAATAAATCCTTCGAAACAATTCAATTCTATTTATAAATATAGTAAAATTCTTTGCAAAATTCAATTATTTTCAAAAAAAATTTCACGAAAGAATCAATTCTTTTTAATTTGTATATAAAATATTTCATAAAAATTCAATTATTTTCTAAAATTTTAATAAACCTTTTGAAACAATTCAAATTTATTTATAAATAGAAAAATTCTTTGCAAAAATTCTATTATTTTCAAAAAAATTTCAGGAAAGAATTCATTTTTTTTCTTAATTCGTTATAAAATATTTCAAAAACAAATTCAATTATTTTCTAAAATTTTAATAAATCTTTCCAAACAATTCAAGTTTATTTATAAATAGTAAAATTCTTTGCAAAAATTCAATTATTTTCAAAAAAATTTCACGACAGAATTCAATTTTTTTCTTAATTCGTTATAAAATATTTCAAAAACAAATTCAATTATTTTCTAAAATTTTAATAAGTCTTTCCAAACAATTCAAGTTTATTTATAAATAGTAAAATTCTTTGCAAAAATTCAATTATTTTCAAAAAAATTCCACGAAAGAATTGAATTTTTTTCTCAATTTGTTATTACATTTTATTAAAAAATCCACTCATTTTCTAAAATTTTATGAAATTTCTCGAAAAAATTCAATTATTTTTAATACAATTTTAATACAATTTCATGAAAGAATTCAATTTTTAACAAACATTTTTAATAATATTTTTCGAAAAAAATCAATTATTTTTATTCTTTATAAAATTCTTCAATGGAATTCAATTACTTTCTAAAATTTTAATAAAATTTAATAAATAAATGTTTAATTTCAATTTAATTATAAAACACGATTATTTTAAAAACTTGAAAATAATTGTTCATGAAATTCAATTATTTTCAATATTTTTATTTTATTTTCAATTAAATTTTATTTATTTTCAATATTTGAATTTTTAAAACAATTCAAAGTAATTCTTCAAAAAGAATTTAATTAACAGTTTTAAAAATTTTAACACAATTTTTTGCGAGAATTCAAGTATTTTCCTAAATAAGAAGACTCTTTGAAGAAATTCTATAATTATCATATTTTTTTGATAATATTCTTTGCAACAATTCGATGATTTTCAATGCATTAATTTTAGAATTAAAAATATTTAAAACGAAAAATTATTTAAAAAAAGTTAAACATTGGTTTAATTTCGGTTTCATGTATTAATTTTATTTCTATTAATTAATAAACATTAATTAGGTAGGTACTCTTTTTTTTGTGAAGATTATATTTTACATAATGAATTCTTTATGTGATTTTTATGTTAAATTTCTCATTTATTTAAAATAATAAATTATTTACTAAATTAAAAAAAATTTATTACTAAAATTTAAAATTCAACTGTTTTGAAATTCTTCAAATCTCGGAAGTTTTTTTAAAATGTTACAATTTTTAATAATGTTATAAATTTTATTTTAATTAAAAGCAATTTTTTTCAGAAATTTATTTATTTTGAAATTATTTCCGCAAAGATAATGTTTAAATTTCATTTTTATGTAAATTAATATTTTTCCGGACTATAAATAAATTATAAAGAATTTATTTCTAAATTCCGAATAGAATTAGTAAATTAAACCAACATTAATGAATATTTAATAAGTATTAATCTTTTAATCTTCTTTTTTTCAAAAAAAATGTGGAAGGGAATAAAGAACAGAGAATTTTGAATTTACTTTAAATGCGACAAAGTTTATTGAACTTTCATCAATCTAAATAATCTTCTCAGAAGAATGTAACATCGAGTCTTACAATTTATGTCACAGATAGGACAAAGCTAAAGAAGATAACAATTTTCATTTACAAATTATAAAAGTAAAAAGGATTTACAATGTACAAGAATCTGTTTTTTTTTAAATGAAAAAGTTGACACGTCTTTTTTTCTCCACAAAGATAATATACATATATCTTTTACTATTTTAAAAGTAATATTATGCAATTTACAAATTATATCAAAAGAATAAATAAATAATATAATAATTAAAAATAAAATCGAGAGATTTTAAAAGAAAAACAATGATTTTTAAAAGAATCATTTTTAAAAGAATTATTTTAAAAGAATGTTTTTTAAAAGAATTTCTTTCTTGTACTATTCTAAAAGGTGATTTCTTCTAAATCGTGAATTAAACGTTTACAATTAGTGCTAAGAAGAATCTTTCCGTCTCGTAGGCGATTTTCCTCGAATTTGAGATTCGACTGGCAAATTATTTTTGGCGCACTGTCAAACAAACGGCCCAGTCCAATGTCTAACGTGCGTATGACTTGGTCCATGTTTTTCCAGAACTGCATTTGATTTTATCATATTTTTGTATTTTATGTCTTTTGGCTTGAGCATACTTTTATGATTGCTGAGGAGACGCGACGGTGTTAAAATTGATTTTGTACTGAGTCCCGTAGCTTCCAAGAAATGATCGTAGCCATTATTTGCGTTATCGATTGGAATCACGATATTATTATTATCCTTGTTTCTTAATGTGTTTTCAGTTTGGCCGCTAATTACGCCAACGGTCGTTAAGGTCTCTGAACCATCGCCTTCCGGTCGATCTGGATCGTCAGATAGATCACAATCGTCCAAATTGAATTCCTCAAAATTCTGTCTAATGTCAAAGTCCTCGTCGAATTGTGAGACAAGCACGTGTCTGAAATAAAATGAAATTAATGTAAATTAAAAATTATTTTAATAACATTTCGCGATAAAGAATTCAATTCTTTTCAAAGATTTTAATAAAATTTTTCACAAGAATTCAATTATTTTCATAAATAATTCAATTTTTTAGCAAGAAATCAATTATTTTCATAAATAATTGAATTTTTGGCAAGAATTCAATTATTTTCATAAATAATTCAATTATTCGCAAAATTTCAATTATTTTCATAAATAATTGAATTTTTAGCAAGAATTCAATTATTTTCATAAATAATTGAATTTTTTAGCAAGAAATCAATTATTTTTTATACAATCTTAATAAAAATTTCTCAAATAAATTCAATTATTTTCAATATAATTTTTATTAAATTTCTCCAAAAAATGTAATTTTTCCAAATTTTTTTTTAAATTCTTTGAAAAGAAATTAATTTAAAAAATTTTGTACAACTTTATGTGAGAATTCAATTAACTTCATAAATAATAAAACTCTTAACAATAATAATTCTCGAAAGAATTCAATTATTTCTAAAAATTCTAATAACATTTTTCATTAGAATTGAAATATTATAATATTATAAATAATAATACAATTTTAATAATTAATTTTACAATAAATCTCGAACAAATTCAATTATTTTAATCAATAATAAAAATTTTCGCAAGAATTCAATTATATTCAAAAATAATCAAATTTAGAACAATTTTAATAATTGAATTAATAATAATTTTCATAAATATTTAATTATTTTCACAAATTATCGAATTTAAATCAATTTTAAAAATTGAATTAATTATAATTCTTGGAAGAATTTAATAATTTTCCACTCTTTAGAAGAATTCAACGATTTTCAAAAAAATTCTTCAAAATAATTCAATTATTTTAAAAAATTTTGATACCATTTTTTATAGGAATTCAATTCAATTAAACAAATAATTAAATTCTTCGCAAGAATTCAATTATTTAAAATACAATTTTAATAATTGAATTCATAATAATTCACAAAAAAAATTCAATTACTTTAAAAATTAATAAAATATTTCGCAAGAATTCAATTATTCTCAAAAATAAACAAATTTATAACAATTTTAGTAATCTTAAAAATGTTCAATTATTTTAATAAATAAAAAAATTTAATCATTTTTTAAATTTCAATAAAATTTTTTGCAAAAATTTAATTTTTTTCTTAATTTGTTATAAAATTTCAGGAAATAATTCAATTTTTTTAAAAATTTTAATAAATCCTTGGAAACAATTCAATTATTTTTATAAATAGTAAAATTTTTTGAATTCCTCGAAAGAATTCAAATATTTTAAAATATTTTCATAAAATTCAATTATTTCCTAAAATTTAAATAAATTTTTCGAAACAATACAATTATTTTTATAAATACTAAAATTCTTTGTAGGAATTAAATTTTTATTACAATTTAAATAAAATTACACAACAAAATTTAAATCTTTTCAAAAATTTCCATAAATCTCATTTTCAACAAGAATTAAAAATTTTCTAAAAATAATTCAATTATTCTCAAAATATTTTTAAAAAATTCTATATGAAAATTAAATTACTTTCAATGCAATTTTAAAAAATATTCATCAAAAAAATTGAAAGAATTCAATTATTTTTAAAAAATTATAAAATTCTTCTGATGAATTCAATTATTTTTTATACAACTTTAATAGAATTTCTGGAAAGAATTTAATTATTTTCAAATATTTTTATAAAATTCTTCAAAACAATTCAACTATTTTCTACAATTTTAATAATTTCTTCGAAACATTTTAATTATTTTTAAAAATAGTAAAATTCTTCACAATAATTCAATTATTTTCATAAATAGTAAAATCCTTTGCAGAAATTCAATTCTTTTCAAAACAATGTTAATAGGATTCTTCGAAAGAATTGAATTATTTTCAAATATTTACATAAAATTAATATATTTTGTAAAAATTTTAATAAGTTCTTTATAACAATTCAATTATTTTTAAAAATAATATAATTCTTCGCAAGAATTAAATTATTTTTACAAATAATAAAATTCTTAACAGGAATTCAATTATTTTCAATACAATTTTAATAAAATTCATTTGCTTTCAAAATTTTCCATTAAAACTATTTAAAAAACTCTATTATTTTATTAAAATTAAAAGGAATTCTTCAAAAGAATTTAATTAGTATTTTAAAAAATTTTAACAAAATTCTTCGCGAGAATTTAATTATTTTTATAAATAAAAAAATTCTTCGAAGGAATTTAATTATTCTCTTGAAATTTTTTGATTAGATTCTTTGCAAAAATTCAATGATTTTCAATACCTTAATTTTAAAATTGAAAATATATTTAAAAAGAAAATTTTTTTAAAAAGTTAAGAATCAAAAAAGCAGTCTACAACTATCTTCAAACTGCGAACAGATTACCAAAATACAACGATTATTAATATAGAAGATAGATTTAAAGATTTAATTTGTAAATGTAATCTTCTTTGTTAAAAAAATTTGTTAAATTAAAGAAATTTCAATTTAATTAAAAAAAAATAAAATTACCTTTCTCTTGGTTTAATTCGATCACTGAGTCTCTCCTCATTCTCGCCTCCGATTTTAAATTCCTCGAAATGCCTAACAATATTCGTAACCCTTGGAATTTTTCTCTGCTCATCTTTATTACTCGGTGAATGTTTTGATTTAAATGAAGAACGCACGTTATTGAAACGATTTTTCCAAAGACTTGATTCACTGCCACTGGAATCGTCATCAAATTTCAGACTCTTCACCGAGGTTGTTTTAATTGGCGATGAAAAGGGAAAGAGATTTTTTCCTTGCTCAACATCAGGGACAGTCTTCTTTCTCGTTTCATCGATTAAGAACGATGGACTTGGTATTTTTTTCAAGACAAGAGTATTATTCATAAATTGTGGCTTTGGTGGTAGAGCGGGTGGTGTCTTTGGTGGTGGCGGCGGTGATGATATCACATCGGGCAATGATTCAATGTCCTCGTAATCGAGATTCTTGGCTAATGTTAAACCCTTTGATGACATTTGAAGACATGTCTTTTCCTCAATTCTTTCCATTTTTACTGTTGGACTTAAATTTGGTGAGCCTTTGACTTTTTGTGGAAGGACAAAGGAGAGTTGTTGTTGTTTTTGTTTCTTTTGATTTTCTTCGTGTTCAATTTTCGGTTCTATGATGACAATTGGTCGGGGTTTTTCATTCTCGTCGATTGTTAATTCGGGTTCAATTGTATTGACAATTAATTGTGTTGATGATAATGATGATGATGATGATTCTTCGATTCTCATTCCGTATTCGTCCTCGGATGCTGTTGGATCAAATGCTAGTGATTCGGTGTCATTTTCTGATGGTTCGATTTCGTTTGTCACTTCACTGTCAATTGGTGTTTCCTCGGAATTTCGCCTTTCCATCTCGGATCCAACTGATTCAATGTCTGAGAGTCGGGCCGGTTGGAAACGAACGATTTTCCCACGATGCTTGAATCGTCTTGGAATTGAGAGAACTTTCTCGTCCTCCTCCATATCCCTGAGAAGAATTTGATTAACGCATTCAAGAACGGAATTGTGATTGCCATTTGGACGATATGTTGTGTGTCTAAAGACGTCGTCGCTTATCCTGTCCTCATCCGGATCGCTGTACCAATTTCCACTCGTATCCTCCTGATTCTGTTCCTCTGGCTCGATTTTTGATATTCTGTTGACACAAGTTTTCAATAAGTCATCAAATTTAAAATTAAATTATTTAAATTATTATTTAAAAATTAAAATGATATTTTCTTCGCAATTTCGCCTTTTCATTTCAAATCCAACTGATTTAAGGAATTTAAAGAATTATTAATTTAATTATCCTTATTTAAGGAATTATTTAAAATCAAATTTATTTATTTATTCTTGTAAACAATTTTATCAAATTTGTACAAAATAATTAAATTTATTTCAGGAATTTTATAAAAATTGTATTAGAAAATTATTGAATTCTTGTGAAAAATTGAATTATTCATGAAAATAATTGAATTCTTGCGAAGAATTTTATTAAAATTTTGGAAAATAATTGAATTTCTGCAAAGAATTTTATTACTTTTGAAAATAATAAATAATAATAACAATAATTAGTTAATAAGTAAATTTATTTAATTCTAAGAGGCAGAATATTATAATATTCTGCCTCTTAGAAACAACAGTTAATTTTAAATTTAGAACTTTAAGAAAATAATTTTCAACTGAAGTTCCAAATAAAAAAAAAGTAAAAGAATTTCTCTTTATATATTTCATGTAGAGTTATAATTACGATTAAATTTTCTTTATTTAAAAATTTATTCCGGTTTTTAAGAATATGGAAAAGATAAGAAAATAAAAATATCGAAGAGAAATGTTAGAAGGACAAATTTTAGAGAAAAAGTTATCTATTTAAATTGTTTTAGGACAAAAATTCTATTTGAAATAAATTCAAATTAAGAATTACTTTTGAAAAATAATTTAGGTACATTCTCGAAGATAAAGAACAATTTGAATCTCAAATTTTTGTTTGAAGAATTGAAAATCAAATTGAAAAGTTTATAAAGAGAAATTTAGAAAAAATAAAGAATATGTTTTTGAATTTTGTTGGATACTTACAAAAACTTTAGAAAAATTTTAAATAAAAAAAAATCAGAGAATAAGATTTGTAGAAAGATTTTTGCAAGTAAACTTTATATGTAAATTATATTATTTTTCATAATTTTGCGTTAAAAAATGGATTTAAACATTTTTTGAAAATAAAATTATAGTTAAAAAAATGTTCTAATTTTTACGACTTTTACAATTTCAAATATGAAATAATTTAACTTTTGTTTAGAATTTTATTACAACAACTTTAGAAAATATTTCAATTAATTTGAATAATTTCAAAAAAAAAATTTTTTTTAATAAATAAATTCTTTCCAGTAATTTAATTCAAATTGTACTGAAAATACTTGAATTCTTCTAAAGTATTTTATCTTTTTTTTTAAATAATTGAATTTCTGCGCAGAATTCAATTAAAATTAAAAAAAAAAATTGTTCTTAAAATTTTATTTAAAAAAATTGAATTCTCATAAACAATTTTATCAAATTTTTAGAAAGAAATTGAATTTGATAAATTTTATTAAAATTTGCATAAAAAATAATTGAATTCTTGTGAAGAATTGTATTATTTTTGAAAATAATTGAATTCTTGCGAAGAATTTTGTTATTTATGAAAAAATTGAATTATTACGAAGAATTTAATTAAAATTTTTGAAAATAATTGCATTCTTTAGAAGAAGTCAATTAAAATTGTACTAAAATAATTGAAATTATTTAAGGAATTTAATTAAATTTTTTTTAAATAATTCCTTCCTATAAAGAATTTTATTAAAATTCCAGAAAATATTTAAATTTATTCCAAAAAGTTTAATAAAATTTTTAAAAATACAAAATTTATTTTTTTTCAGAAATTTTATTCCAAATGAATTGAAAAAAATTTTCAATTTTGCCAAGAATTTTATTATTTTCAAAAATAATTGAATTCTTACAAAAAATTCAATTCTTTCGATCAATTTAATTATAATTGTATTAAAAATAATTGAATTCTTATAAACAATTTTATCAATTTTGTAGAAAATAATTGAAATTATTTGAGAAATATTATTAAAATTGTATTAAAAATTATCGAATTCTTGCGAATAATTGATTTATTTATGAAAATAATTGAATTTTTAAGAAATTTTTATTATTTATAAAAATAATTGAATTCTTTTGAAGAATTGTATTGAAATTTTGGAAAATAATTGATTTTCTGAGACGAATTTTATTATTTTTCAAAATAATAAATAATAAACAGTTAATAAGTGAATTTTTATGTTAAAAATTTGTTTTAAAAATTATTATTTTCAAAATATTTAATAAAATTCCTTTTAAAAATTCAACTATTTTCAAGAATTCAGATAAAATGCTTCGAAACAATTCAATTATTTTTATGTATTGTAAAATCCTCCGCAAGAATTTAATTATTTTCATAAATAAGAAAATTCGTTGCAAGAATTAAAATATTTTCATAAATAAGAAAATTCTAGAAAGGAATTCAATTAGTTTCATAAATTAAATAATAAAATGTTTCAAAATTTCCAATTAAAATTACTTTAAAAAATTACATTATTTTAACGAAATTTAATGAAATTCTTAAAAAAAAATGTAAATAGAATTTTATTTAAACTTTTTTAAATAATTAAATCCCTGCGAAAAAATTTATTATTTCTACAAATAATTGAATGTTTGCAAAATTTAAAAAAATAAGTGAATTTTTGAGAAGAATTTTATGAAAATTTATTTGAAATAATTGAATTCTTGTGGAAATTTTACTATTTATTGATAGAATTGAATTCTTACGAAGAATTTAGAAATAATTCAATTTTTCCTGGAATTCAATTATAATTGTATTTAAAATAATTGAATTCAATGACTTTCAGTAGATTAATTAAAAAATTTTAAACATTTAAGAAAAAATATTATTTTTAAAATTAGGAAACAAAAAAAATCAAACAGCAACTAACATATTAATTTATTAATTAGAGCAAACGTGAAATAAAAAAGAATAGAAAATAGAAATAAATAGAAATTCATTTCAATTTGAAAAAAATATTCCTTCGAATACTTACAGATTAATATTATTATTACTACAATCCTCATTTGTTCTAATTGCTCCTTGTAAATTTCTAACATTATTTTCTGTACACGAGTTAACATAAATTGGCTCCTGTCTCTCCTCCTCGTCAGAAACAAAATTCGAATCCATTCCATCATCAGTGCTTTCAGTTCTGATTATTTTTGGTAACTCGTGAATACGCGATGAACCAATTTTCAATGGTTTTCCTCTTAAAACGCCAAATCTTCTTTTTGAAAATCGACTCCCCTCATCGTTCATCATTGTCTCGTCGTCATCTAATATTGTCATTGTTTCATTCTCGCTGTCTGTTACCGTTGTCGGTGTACATCTACTGGATTTATTTAATGTTGAACCCGGTGAGACATCGGTACTTTCACCTTCACAAAAACCCTCGGTACTCAATAAAGATGGACTCCCCTCGGTGGTTGTTGTAATAATCGAGGCATCAGTATTTTCACTGCTTGTCAAACTTGTCTTTGAAATATCACTTCCGGCAAAACTGTGTGTTTTCGTTATACCACGTGAATGATCATCGTGAATTTCTTGTGAATTAGAACCATTTAATTTTGTGATTATTTCACATTTTAAATTCTCAATGTCTTTACTTAAACTGCTGTCTCGCTTTCCATTATATTCGTCGACCTGGAAAATAAATAGCAAATTATTTTACATCACTGATTTATTATTTATTATTATTAATAACATTTTCCCCACGAATGACATTTTCCGATAATAAACAATCGATAACATTAATTTTATAGAAAAATAAAATAAGTTTTGAACGTTAAAATGAACGGAATATTTTTTATTAAAAATATTTTCATAAATTACTGACTACTTTTAATTAAATCTAAAATTAAAATCTCAAATTTTACATTCAGAAACTTTATAATTAATTTTTTTTAAGACACAAAATTATTGTAATAAAAATTTAATTTGAAGAAGAAATAAAAGAATTTCGTTCATTTGAACGTTCAGATTTTTAGGATCATAACGACAGTAGAAATAATATTCAAGAAGTTTTTTTCAACATCAAATAATAGAAAATGATTCTTTTCATAATCAAATGATCCTGACACCGGTCTTTAATTAATATGAAAGATTTTATTCCTTTTATATTATAAGGAAAAATTCGTCAAGCTTTTTCTAAAAGAAAACTTTCTTTCACGATCAATCTCTTTGCATTTTGAATTTGAAAACTAATAATTTATTTTTGAATTAATTTATTTCTTTTTATTGAGTTTCACTGCGACTTTCGAAATTAGGTTCCTAAAAATTTTAAGAACATGATTGAATTTAACTGTATATTTGAAAAAGAAATTGACCATAAAAACTTTTTCGAGATTTTTATATTCTTTTTTAATAATCACTTTCGCTGGATAAAAGAAATGAAAATATGAAGTATAAAAAATGAACGAAATAAAAATCGTTTTAATATTATTTTCAATAATTTATGAGACTTTTCTAAATGGAAATAATTTTATATATTTATAGTAATAAAACAGGGTTGCCACAAAAATTTTATTTAATTTTTTCCTGACTTTTCCCTGATTTCAAGACAAAATTTTGACTTTTTCTCTGACCCTAAGGTATATTTTGATTTACTCTAGAAATTATTAGATACTCAAAAAAATGTTCGATTGCATTTAATTACGAATTTCTTTAATTGTAAAATTATTAAAAATACCAATTATTTTCTACAATTTTTAAATAAAATTCATCTTTAAATAAAACATTTTTAATAATTCTTGATAAAGTTCTTCTTTAAATAAAATATTTTTAATAAATTTTTGATAAAGTTCTTTTGAAAATTTCCAAATTCATTGGTTTACAATTCAATTTTACGAAATTTCGCTTATTCGGAAATTCTTCAATTAAATATAAATTAGAAATTAAAAATTTGAAATAACTTTTAAAAATTTCGATTTAGCTTGCAAATAAAATTTGGTTTCATGGAAATTTTGATTAAAATTATAAAAAATTCAGATTTTTTAAGATTTCAATTTGAAAGCTTTACAAAATTCAATTATTCTCTAAAACTTTAACTGAAATTAATTTTTAGTTCAATTTTTATTAGAGAAATTCTACGAGAATTCAATTACATAATAGATAATAGATAATTTATTGAATAATTGAATATTTCTTAAAATTTGATTCTTATACATAAATTTATCAACAAATTTTTAAATAATTAAATTTATTTTTCGAGAAATTCGATTAAAATTGTATAAAAAATAATTCAAATTCTACAATGAATTTTATTATTTATGAAAATAATTTAATTATTGCGAAGAATTTTATAAAAACTTTTAAACAACTGATTTTTTTCGAAAAAATTTATGCAAATTCTATTTTTAATAATTGAATTCCTGTGAAATTTTTCATTATTTTAGAAAATAATTGAATTTTCGTGTAGAATTTTGTCAAAATTGTTTTTAAATAATTGAATTCTTTTGGAGAATTTTCTTAAAATAATAGATATACAAATTATTGAATTAAGAAAATTTTTTGAAAATAATAGAAATTTAGCAATGAGTTTTATTAAATTTTTTGAAAATAATTGAATTTTATTATTTTTGAAAATAATTGTATGCTGTAGAAAAATTTAATTAAAATTGTACTAAAATAATTGAAATTATTTAAAGAATTTAATTAAAATTGTACCGAAAATATTTGATTTCTTTTAAAGAATTTTATCAAAACTTTTGAAAACAATAGATTTTTTGCGCAGAATTTAATTAAAATTTCTAAAAACAATTAACTTCTTTCAAGAAATTTTATTAACATTGCATTGAAAAAATTGAATTCTTATAAACAATTTTATCAAAATGCAGAAAATAATTGAATTCATTCCAAAAAGTTTATTAAAATTTTTGAAAATACATCATTTTTTTTCAAGAAATTTTATTCCAATTGAATTGAATTCTTACGAAGAATTAAATTCTTTCGATCAATTTAACTATAATTGTATTAAAAATAATTGAATTCTTTTAAAAAATTTTATTAAGTTTCTAGAAAATAATTGAATTTATTTGAGAAATATTATTAAAATTGTATAAAAAAATTATCGAATTCTTGGTAAGAATTGAATTTTTTTAAATTCAATTATTTTATTGAAAATAATTGAAAGTTTGCAATGAATTTTATTAAAATTTTCGAAAATAATTGAATTTTATTACTTTTGAAAATAATTGAATTTTGCAATGCATTTTATGGAAATTCCTAAATATAATTGAATTTCGGCGAGGAATTTTGCTATTTATAAAGATAATTTAAATGTTGACGAGAATTTTTAACAATATTTTGAAAATAATTGAACTTCTGGAAAAAATTTTGATATAGGTCAAAATTCAGGAATAAAATTAGTATAAAGTATAAATTACTACAAAATTATAGTATAAAATAAAAAAATAAAAATTATACCTGAAAATTAGACGAATTTTTCTCAGTTGGAATCGATTCCTCGACATTTATTGATTGACCTAAACTGAGATCACGTTTGCCTTTGATATAATTTTTTGTATAACGTCGGAGTTTTGCAATTTCCAATTGTTGATTCCTGATGACATTATCCTTCTCGCAAAGCAATTGCCTAATTGATTTTTGTTCCTGTTTCAAACGGGACTCAAGAACAAGTAAAGCTCGAAGAATTCTTGATAATTGTTGATCACGAAGATTCCTCTCCGATGCTTGATTACTATTTCTATTGTCCAGTTCTCTAACCAGGTCTCTACATTTTTTCGTCGCTGCTCTTAAAGCTTCTTGAGTGCGGACCAGATCTTGGTTCAAAACCCGCACTTCAGTTTCCATCTGAAATTAAAAAAAAGAAAAGGAACTTTTAGAAAATTGGTATTTTGCTTGAAACAGTAGTAAATTAGGTTACTATGTAAATAAATCTTAATCCTTTTTTATTTTATTTCGTTTGAATGATTTCGCTAATTTGTTGCACTTCATTTTTTATATCGCTTTCTATTTTCATTAATTAGTTTTTGATTTTTCACTATTTTTATTGTAATTTCACTAGAGTAATTAAATAAAATTCGTCAATTAATGTTATTTTTCACACAGGGTTTATTTTTATTATTTTTATTTATATTTCGTATAGCAGACTACAACTTTCGGTCTAATAGTTCGGACACTAAATTTGGTGGCGCTTTTCCGGAAACAAGATGTCGCTACTTCCTGTTTGTCTTTGGACGTGTGTGAAGCGTCAATTTTATTTTCCTCAATTTTTTTTCATTTTAACCAATTTTCTTTGAGAAAGTAATCAAAGTTATTATTTTCCACTCGATTTGGATAACTTCTTTACTGATCGTGTATCAAATTGAGATTAGAAGTTTAGTGGAAAAAAGGCAAATAAAAGGTAAACTGTCACTTTTCTCTTGAATCTTTACAAATTTCGACAACAGTTGTGTACAATTTCGGAACAAAAATAATTTGATAAAAGCAATGATTATTTAATATTCATTTCTTTCATTTTTCTCAAGTTTTATTACTTTAAACTGCGATTTTAATTCTGACAAAACATAACCTCCAAAAAAAAAATTAATTATTTTTCAAAAACGAAAGAATTTAGGTAATAATCAAAGGTTAATTTTAATTAATATTATTTCTTTATTATAAACATTATAAATAATAAAGAATTGTTGCAATATTCCCTCTTTCCTTTTAATGTATTTTCACTTCCGGTATATTAGTTTCAATATTCGACACTGGCGGCGCTTTCTCATAACCATCATGCATCATGGCGTCTTGTTCACAGTCCTTTTGTCAAGTTCGTACTTTTTTCCCAATATTTCCCCCTGATTTCGTCAGAAAAAGTAATAAAAGTTGTACATAGTGTAATTTTTATGATATTTTGTTTAGAAAATATGAAAAATTGTTCGGCGGATCACAAAAAAATGCAAAAAATAAGCTTTCCTATTGTCGCCAAACAACATAACCTACAAATCAAGGGGGTATTACGAAAGGTAAAATATTACAAATAATTCTTATCTGACAAAATATAGACAATTAAAAGTTATTTATTTGAAAAACGAACCAATCGCTATTATTTTTGTTGATAAACAAAATAAACAAAAAATTCTATTAATGTATTGTTACTTCCGGAATATTAGTTTCAACATTCGCCACTGGTGGCGCTCTCCTATAACCATCATGGCGTCTCGTTCATAGTTCTTTTTTGAGTTCGTGCAGTTTTTCTTACTATTTATCCTTAATTTCGTCAGAAAAATTCTTTAAATTTGTATATTACCTAATTTTAGTGTTATTTTCTTAATTAAATACAAAACAATTGTTTGGTGAATCGAAAAAAAGTTTTCCTATTATCGCCAAAGAAACATAACCTACAAATCAAGTGGGTGTTAAAAAGGTATAAAATATTACAGAATCGAATTTAGTAACTAGAAGTCTTTTAATTAATTGCTACTATTTTTGTTTATGAACAGTAAAAAAACTTTTGCGTTTCTTTTATTCCTATTTAACGTATTGTTACTTCCGGTATATTAGTTTCAATATTTGACACTGACGGCGCTTTTTCCCCTGTTCACAACCATCATGGCGTTTTGTTTATAGAACTTTTGTCGAGTTCATGTCGTTTTTTTTTTTAATTTATTTTTCTCTTTAAATATTTTCAATTTTAGGTAAAATTAATGCATTGAAAATCAACGAACTGTTGAAAAAATTTTTGTCAAAAAATTTGATAATAAAATTCCTTCGAAGAATTTTATTATTTAGAAAAATTAATTGACTTCTCGCGAAGATATTTGTTCACATTATTGAAAATTCTAATTAAATTATTTTTGAAGAATATCTTTTAAGTTTTAATTTTGTTTAAATAATGGAGTTTCCTTAATAATTATAATTAAAATTTTTGGAAATAATTGAATTTTATGAACAATTTCTTTCAAGTTTTTAAAATAATACCGATAGTTAATGATTGAAATTTAACATTTAATTATTTAATTTTTATAAAATTTTAGAAGAAGAATTGAATTCTTTTAAGAAAATTTATAACGAATTGAGAGTTTTCTCTTAAAAATTCAATTCTTTCATGAAATTTTTTTGAAAATAATGGAATTTTTAAATGAATTTTACTATTTAATAAATATAATGGTATTGTTTCGAAGAATTTATTTAAATTTTAGAAAATAATTGGATTCTTTTAAAAAATTTTAGAACGAATCAAGAAAAATTTTACTTCTTTCATGAAATTTTTTTGAAAATAATTGAATTTTCGCAAAGAATTTATTACTATTTATAAGTAAAATTGAATTGTTTCGAATGATTTATTAAGAGTTTAGAAAATAATTTAATTTTGTCTAAAAATATTATTAAAAATTAAAAAAAAATTGAATTCTTTCGTGAAATTTTTTTTAAAACAATTGAATTTTTGCAAAGACTTTACTATTTAAAAAAAGTTTTTAATATTGTTTCGAAGGATTTATTAAAATTTTCGAAAATAATTGTATTCGTTCGTGAAATTTTATTAAAATTTTGTTTAAAAATAATTAAATTCCTTGGAAGAATGTTATTATTTATGAAAATAATTGAATTTTTGCGAAAAATTTTGTTAAAATTTTTGAAATTAATAATCAAGAATAATTAATTAGTAAATTAGTTGATAATTGAATTTAATAATTTTTTTTAATTAATTTAAATAATTGAATTAATTTTTAAAGTTTGAATCTAAAATTATTCAAAAATTCATATTTTAAAATAAAAAATATTGTAATTTGCATATTAATAAAAAATCGAATATCAAGTTTTGCGCGTAACATTTGCTATATAGTAAAATAATAAAATTGAAAATTTAAAGAAGTAATAAAAATATTGTCGTTCATTTAAACGTTGAAAACTTTAAGAACATTATATACTACATAATCTAATAATTACGTTCGTAATAATTATAATTATATTTTTTTTATAACGGTGTCAATTTTGTAAAGAAACTGAAAAATCTTCGTTTAAATTTGAAAAATAATTATTTCGCTAATTTGAATTCCAATGTAAGTGTGTATATGTTTCAGATTAAATGTCAGGGATCTAAATACCGGTTCCTCAACCCAACAAGAATCAGTGACCTAACGTAATAACGAGGGCACTTTTGCTATTATAAAATATGAAATATAATAGATGCAGAGGGCAAAAAGTCTGTGACAGCAGCTGCCCAGGTGTATGGGGTGAAGGTGATTATCGGAGGAATCTGAGCCATCGCTATGAAAGCATAAACCATGAAGGAAAGAAAGTCACCCATATAATAAAATGGAACGAGCTCTCAGAGATTATAAAAAGGCACCCGTTGACAGAATAATGATAATGATGACAAAGGAGAATGGCGTGTGTGTATATATACATGTGTCATCCCAGGAGCTCTAATAAAGACCTACTTTTATAATAAGGTATGACATTTATAGTATCAAAATAGAATTTATTACTATTTCATTTTAATTTTTTTTATCATAATTTTAAATCATGGAACAAAAATTTCCCTGCTTTTTCTTTTGAAAGCTGATAAAAAACGATTTTTATGTCCCAAATTTTCTTCGCCTTGAATTTGGGATTATTTTTTTCTTTCTTAATTTTATAGTTTTCATTTTTAATTTCTATGGTTTTTGATAAATTAGAAATACAAGTTTGTATTTCTAATTAGGAAACAGTATTGTTAATAATAAATATTGGTAAATATTATTATTAATTATTAATATTATTATTATTAATGGCTACATTTACTACTAATATTTATTAATCATACATTTTTGTAAATGTTACTGTTATTAATTAATATTATTATTAATGACAATATTTACTACTAATATTTATTAATAATAAAATTTTTTAGTGACTACTATTTTTACTAATAATATTTATTACAATTAGTAAACACTAATCAGGCCTCAAATATTATGACTTTTTCAATTTTTTTTGACTATTTTGAAAAAAGCGCCTTTTTTCGAGTTATTTTCAAAAATTTATACTTTTTCAACTGTTTTTTCAAAGAAGAAACAAATTATTAAATTTCAGAAGTTTTATTGAAATTTTTTAGATTTTATTTCACGTAAAAACAAATAAATATTTATAATTAACAATATTATTCAAGTTTTGAATACTTGAATTTAAAAATCAGTGAAAGAGAAAAATCCAGGAAAATACAAAATAAAATTCTTGTGACATTACTGCATATGAATTAAATAAAAGACTTTTTCGACTTTTTTTCTATTTTTTATAATCGACTAAACGACTTTTTTGTATCATTTCTTTTTTCTTTCGATATTAATAATAAATATTATTAGTATTAACCTTTTTTTTAAAAAAAATTTGCAAGTAAATTATATCGATGTTTTAATTAATAGAAGTTAATTATTCTAATTAAGAGAGAACTGAATTTATCGAACGACCAGGGAAAATTGAACTCGAGTAATTTTACTGACAAAAAAAAACTCTTAGTCGTGAAATTACTAGAACAATTCATTATTTTAATATATTCCAAAGGCCTATTTAAACTTTATAGTTTAATTTCTGGGCCTTAATAAAAATACCCAATGGATAATTAAATGAAGCGACTCATTAAAATAACTTGAATTTATTAAAATTGAAACTTGCTTGTTTTCAAAACGGGAATAAATTTCCATTCTTTTTTTTCAAATATTATGAGACTATTAACTTTTCCCAAGTTATAAAGTAAAAGTAAATTTTTCAAAATTAAACTTCTAAGTATTTATTTTAATTATTATAAATTATTAACTATATTAATCTCCTTAAATATTTACGAATATTTACATTTTTCGATGAATTTGTTTACAATTGTATTA